AGTCACTCTTATCAATGCATTTCCTCATTTTTGATAGCAGTGTAGTTCACCGAGCGTGACTAATTTTTTAGAAGAACGGAGAAACATTCCTCCAACATTTTGAAAATAGGATCCATGAAACTGAAAGTTTATCTACTGGAACTACTAAATACTCTCAGAAAAAAAATTTATAAATTCCGGAGGGGCAACTTTGAGTCGGGTCGAATGTCTCAATTGCACGTTATACCTAGTATACATGGTAACACTAAGAACACTTTCCATATCAGTCAGTAACCAACAGTGTACAAAACACTAATTGCATTGTTTTCCAGTCTCCTCGAGCAACACTTTCCATAAAATGAAATCTGATTTTTTTAAAGACTGTGGTCGGCAATCCTAAGGCTTGATAAGTTCCAAGTCGATAACACCACATTGTATTATAATTGGTGTTTTTTTAAAAAGATACCTTTCCTCAGGAAAGAAGTTTTGGACGATGGCGAAAACAGTTCTTCTCATAAGATAAGCCGTGTCACCCATGAAAGCAGATACGAAACCAGTAGTGCTCTCAAAGGAGAAGAGTAAAAAAAATCAATGACGTATGGGACATCCTTTGGTACCGAGTGTGCCAAATCTGAAATACGACATTTTTGGTTTTATTACCTAGCGCCGTCCGCAACAACGGTATGATGTAACTCTATATTCTTTTGAGCAAACTACTTCAGTGAAGGCGAGAATACGCGTGTGACCAAGTAGCGGTTATTTTAGTGTTGAATATGATTGGTTTAGCAGGTGGTGCAAGTTTTCTGGACATGTCTACGAGCAAAATAAACCAAAACTAAAGAAAAACCCCTGATTTATTTCGATAATGCATTAAAAAGTACAATAAAAGAACTGACTAGTAAGGATTAGCCTGAATAAAGGCCTCTGAAGGAGATCAAGTATCCTTTCTCGACCCTCTCTTGATCTAGATTCTTTGTAGACGAATATCAACCATTATTTCATAGCCCAAATTCAATGGGAAAAAAACGCTTTGTCAGAAATGTTCTTACTTGGTATCTCTACTCACTTAGTTTTCTCCATTAAGATCTGCTCCGAACTGTGAGCGCATTGACAAACATGGCAGAGAGACGAAGACCCAGTAAAGGAGCAGCCAGGTAAGTTAATACTCGGGTGGACGAAGCAATGAAGTAAAACCTCATTGACGATCCAATCCCGAGTAGAGCAGCAGTGATAAACAAACACTGAAAAAAAAAAACGCTTCCTTAGATGGTGCTGTGAGTCCTTTCAAACTCTTGTATTGATTTACCTGCTCAAAGGGCCCCACGAGGAATCACTCTGGAATATAGCATGGCTTCGAGTTTAGTCGCTGGCTCACCTTTCCTACCAAAGCAATTTCCCAGCCATTTATGTGCACTCAATCAGTTTCCATTCACTAAGGCATTCACTCGCTACATCTGTATGTCCTTCTTTTCCACAAAACAAGATCCTGACCCTTGATCTCCGTCACATATTCATTGGCCTTTCTGCTAATTGGCAAATTCAGAAATATATATAGGTTATTAGACATTTTGGTGTGTAGTATAGCTGAGTATTTTTACGAGTTGTGCCGTATTTTGACTGACGAGCCCGTAGGAAGAGTCAAAATACAAACAACAGCTTTTTTTTCTGCATGCTATGTGACGTCTTAACTCTGCTCATTTCTCATAAGGCGGAAGAAGCCCTATGAAGTGGATAGAGGAGCATAGCGCGCAGCCGACTGGTTAAACAGGTTTTTTTTTACCGTACAAAAAAGCCAATTATCCAAATAACCGTACAATATCGCAGGACATTTGTACTCTATTCGCGCGTTATTTGTATTCTTCTTTGTGCAGTTGGGTAATAAGGATCCTTAATCTCTCACTACACTTCTGAAAGTTTCCTGATAGGGATTCACTTATTTATAAAGGCTCTTCTTAACCTATCGCTGTCTTAAGTAAGTCTCTTACCATTATTTGACACAGGTCTTTGAGGCCAGTTTTACTAACATATTTTGATTTTTTTAGTACAACTCTGATGTTGAACCAGTTGTAACTTAACAACCAAGGTGATGATAAAATTATGCGAATACATAAACTACTGCATGCATTAGATGTAACGATGTGATGTTACATAATGAAAAATTGTATTAGCAAAAATATCAAGTTCGAAATTGCCTGAAAATTAATGCTCAACTTCCAATAGTAATTTCTAATCAGCTTGCCGTATCTTGCTTCCTATTTTTTCGACTAGTTTCTTGATATTCCAGGGGAAACAGTTGCACTTAGCAACATTAAAAGTGGCAGTTAGGCCATGGCTTCCTGACAGGGAAAATAGTTTCAATACTTTGAGTCTTTCACCGATACGTGAATTATTTTTCTAATGTACCGAATGGCTTGCAGCTTAGGGCAAATGGTTATTACCTCACCAATCGAAAGTCTTCGCAAATTCCAAAGCTGGCGAACTTGTGGAAAGCCCACAAATTTACAACAGAGAATAAGAGTTAACCAAAATTTCTTAACTTGTAAGTTAACCATTAGAACACCATTCATCTTCACACGCCTCATGGAGTCTTTTCTCATGTTGAAAGAACCCTTTAATCTACGTTCACTCCTAAATGAGGATATTATTCATACTATGGGAGAGATCGCTTGACAGTTCTTACCCGTCTTTACATCGATTTCCTTTATTCGCTTCAGATACAACTGGTAAACGCTGATCATTTTCACCACTGGTCCCTGTGAGCTTTTAAAAAATTCTAACAAGGAGCTTATTTTTGTGCTGTTCAGTTTTTACTGTCTTTAGACCAACCAAATGGCGTCTCCCGACGGGTACATTTAAATTTCATCGAAGATCTTGCATATTTTATAGAGATTCGCTGAACAGCGAATGTTTTGTACGACTAGCTGATTTTCCTTCAGATCACTGGCCTGTGGTAGCCTCTACTCGATTCGCTCATTCCTGTGAAGAGTCTGACGCAATTTCCGGCTAATGACGTGGACGTGTTGTGTGGGAATGTCACTTCACGTTATTAGACAGACACGACAAGTCATAATTTAAACGCCTTCTTTCCCAGGAATATTCAAACTGAATGCTATTTTACCACTGTACCTCCAATTTACAATTCCTCTACCGTCAAACATTATAATTTGTTTTTCTCTAAAAACCGTTCTAGTTCGTTTACTGGATTCTTTGAAGTTGTTTAACGTAGGCGTACGTGAGAATTTCCGATTTTAAGGGAAGTAATTTAGCTTGTAGAGTATTTGCGATATTCGCAGAGTCAAATAAAGGATGATTTGGAATTTATCACGATGTAACTAAATATGGCTGACCACGCACACTTCAAAAGTCAAGCACATGTAATCCTCAAGCAGAACGCATGCTCCTTCTAACAAAGTACAAACTTCATGGGAAAGGGAGTGTGCAAAATGACTGCCAGGCCTTATCGCTTTTTTTATTCGTCTAACATCAGTATGCATACTCTTCATACTGCTCTTCATACATTTCCTCAGTAAAGCGCTAACAAGGATATTTTTTTGTAAAATCAAGAGCCTCTTTGGTTGGTGATCAAAGGCAAAGGGTTAGGAATGTAGAGACTCCATCCTCAAATGCAGTCTTCGCGCCAAACTCGTGATACATGTCGAAGACACGTTTATGACATGTTTCCTGGTACGTCTACTTAAAACATTACAAATAAACTTTCTTGATGATGTCATCACTGGTAACCTTAACCCTTTAACTTGAACTAGGCACGAAAGATGGCGGTTACGCCGAAAATGTGCTCGTAATATCTTTTCAGCTTCGCAGCCCCAGCGGTGGTTAAAATATATTAATTATCCAATTGAAATGCCTGACGAACCATCGAAGAAAAAGGGAGCCGCGGAAAAAAGGCAGGAAACGAACAAGGGAGGGTAGCTCTCAAACGGATGAAGAAAACGCGTCCGATCAACATCACAAGCAAGGATGCAAAAAGTACTTCGAAACAACAAACTCGAGGCTCTCCGGTATTGAAGAGAAACTCAACACGCTATTAGCTATACTTCCCGAGTTGGAAACTAATAAAAAGAGGATTACTCTTCTTGAAGAAGAAAACAAAGCCCTGCAAACGAGCTTGGAGAATTCGCAAGCAGAGATAGAAGACCTAAAAGCCATTGTTAATGATGTCAATTTCAAGCAAGAAGCAGCCAACACCTCCAGTGAACGCATCGAGCGCGAACTCAAAGAGCTACATCGCCGACATCTTAAACTGGAATCTCACAGTCGTAGAGGAAATATGAAATTCTTTGGAATAAAGGAACGTGAAAACGAAACAAACAATGACACTAAACTCGCCCTAAGAGAATTCATGCGTACGAAGCTAAAGATCCTTCCAGTCGACGAAGAAAACATTCATTTTGACAGAGTCCACAGAATTACGTCGCACCGTTCACAATCAAATGGCCGAAGTCTTCAACCGCGACCGATTATAGTTAGGCCGACGGAATTTCAAGATAAATTTTTCATCAAATCCTTCATCAAAAATCTCCCAAGAGGTACCGGATTTGGAATATCCGACGATTTTCCTAAAGAAGTCGACGAGGTAAGAAAGATGTTAAGAAAGCGCCAGAAGAAGGCTGCATACCTCAACGTCGAAAAGCTGATCATCGACGGTGCTCTGTACCGTGGCGAAGAAACATCACAATTTTCTTTCTATGGGCGTTTAATGGACAATTAAGCTAAAATGAACGCTAAACCATAGTTTAGTTTGTTTTCTTTTTTGTTATACGGAACCACCACTTGAGAGCTGCGGCTTTCCACTCTCTATATCCAGTCAAAATGTCGCACAAAGCTCCAGGTAAGTCTAATAGTTATGTGTTTCTGTATGTGTTTCCGCATGTCCTTTCGATTTAGCTTTCTCTTCTATTAATTAATTTAATTAATTGAATCTTTATTAAGTCATAAGATAAATAATCACATATCCTATGTTACAACATTAAAAGAAGGCATATATATAAATTACAGAGAAAATCAAGATAAAAATTATAAGACTAGATTATGTTTAAAAATTAAGCGATTAACAAACGTGTTTTTGAACCTATCAGTGTTTATTTTAGGATGGTGACTTGTCTCTTTCCTCAGATTGTACTTGGTTAATTTCTTTTTTGGCATTATAGCTCTTAAAGGGTGTATTGTATTATTAAAAACATTCTTGAAGATACGCGTGTCCTGTTGAACTAACAATTCATAAACATTAATGTGATCGGATGTATACTTGCGCTTATAACATCGATCTAAGAAACATTGGATTGTTGTTAATTCGGAATTTACAGCGCCAAATACGGACAGCCCGTATAATATATTTGGTAGAACCAGATTTAGAAACAGATGGTCTATTTCGGCCTGATTGTACAAAGATCTTAAAATGAACAGGCACTTGTTTGCTTTAATTAGTTTTTCCCGAATATGTGTTATGAACCTACTGTCTTCCTGAAATGTTACCCCTAAAATAGTAACCTCATTTGTCTGTGGTATTCCAGACACCATCGGAAACTCTATTGTACAACCTTTCTTGCGGAAAATGATTTCCTTGCACTTAGATGGATTGCTACACATACCATTACTTCTAGACCACTGGGAAAACTGATTAATCAGTGCGATAGAATTGTCATTATCACCTATCATGTTGATCAATTTTGTTTTGATATTAACGAGGTAATAAGAATCAAGCATTGTCATAAATATCAACCAGGGTTCTGGAAGTTTAACAACTCCTTGCTGTCAGATACTAATTACGTGGAACTGTTAACATTTAAAATTCCAATGTTAGCAAAAAAGCATGAACAAGTCAACGACAAAGGGTTGTATTGGGAAAGGATTAAAATGGAAATTCGTGCCTTTACAATAGCTTTTTCAAAGAAGAAAGCTAAACGAGAACGTGACGAAGAATCAATTATTTTGTCGGAAATGATGAGATTGCAGACCAAACTCCAGACATCATACAGTGACCGAGCTGGAGAGAATAAAATCCAAGCTTTCGAAAATTGCAGGTATCAAAACACGAGGAACAATCGTGCGTAGTAGAGCGCGTTGGTACGAGTATGGTGAGAGGAATAGTAGATATTTTAATAACTTAGAAAAAAGGAACCAAAAAAAGAAACATATAACGTCCTTAGTTAATAACGATGGTGACAAAATCACAAACCCGAAGGACATCCTGGAGGAAGAAGAACGTTTTTTCGAAGAGATTTATACATCAAGATGTATGGACCCCAACTGCCTAACTTTCAGTGAGTTCTTTGAAACAGAAAATGCATTATCAGAAGAAATCGCGAAAACGTGCGAAAGTGTCATGTCTGTTCATGAGTGTGAGCTTGCGCTAATAACTATGGAAAACAACAAAACTCCTGGCACGGATGGGCTAACGCCTGAATTCTACCGCTATTCTTGGAACTTGCTCGGTTCATTTATGGTAAGTAGCTTTAATTACGCCTTTCGAAACGGAACTCTGTCTATCTCTCAACGCTAAGGGATTATTTCCTTAATTCCGAAAAAGAAGAAAAATACCGAATATTTAAAAAATTGGCGACCTGTATCTTTACTGAATTTTTTACTGACTATAAAATAGCAACGAAGACTATTGCTCTGCGCTTGGAGAAGATCTTGCCGAACTTAATTCATCCCTGCCATTGGAGAAAGTATCAGGTTAATAGCAGACACAATGCATTTCACTAAAGAGACGAATATTCCAGGGATAGCCGTGTTTTTAGATTTCGAGAAAGCTTTTGACTCGATTGAGTGGAATTTTATTCATAAATGCCTCGAAACGTTTAATTTCGGTCTTGACCTCCGACAATGGATAAAAGTGTTCTATACAGATATCTCTAGTTACGTTTTTAATAACGGATATGCCTCAAAACATTTTCATCTAGAACGCGGGGTGCGTCAAGGCTGCCCACTTTCCGGCACACTATTCGTTATTGTTATTGAGTTACTTGTGCAAAGTATTAGACGCTCAAAAGAAATAAAAGGTATTACGATAGATGAACATAATGAGGTTAAACTTTCGCAATATGCAGATGGCACAACTGTACTTCTTTCTGATGTCCAATCAGCGTCAAAATTATTTGATTTATTATCGCTTTTCGAAAGGTGCTCTGGTCTAAAACTAAATCAAACAAAATCTGAAATGCTATGGCTTGGCTTTATGCACCACAGAAAAGATACCATACTTGATCTCCAAATGAGCGGCGAGCCAGTTTACGCGCTTGGGGTGCATTTTACATATGATCTAGAAGAGTCTGAAAAGAAAAAAAAATTTTTTTGACAAATTAGGATCTTTAAAGAAAACATTGAATATGTGGTCCCAAAGAGACCTCTCCATCGTTGGTAGGATAAATATAATTAAAACATTAGCATTTTCAAAACTGGTCTTTATCTGCAGCGTCATGAACACCCCTAAAGACTTCAGTAAAGAAGTAAACAAGATCACGTTCGACTTTATTTGGAATCACAAACCCGCCAAAATAAAAAGGACTACCCTTATCAAGCAAAAAACAGCTGGTGGCTTGGACATGAAGGATTTTTCTCTCTTCGACAAAACGCTTAAGTTAAACTGAGTGAAACGGTTATGCTCTAACTCGGATGCTCCATGGCAGTACATACCAAAATCGCTCCTAGCTGATGTTGGCGGTACAGAACTGTTTAAATGTAATTATGATTATAATCTCCTTGACCAAGACAACCATCTTCCTGCTTTCTAAAAAACAAATCATTTTTTACTGACATCGCAACGGCCACACCTAAAAATAAAAGTGAGGTTCTCTCATAGCCAATCTAGAATAACCGATTGTTAACTGTGAATAAGAAAATGGTATTCTTTCCTCATTGGTATCAAGCAGGAATAAAACAAATCTCGGACCTTTTTGACTCCTGTGAGGGCCATTTCCTTCCATTTAATTCTTTTAGCAATAAATTCAATTTAAAATGTAACTTTTTACAATATTACAGCATTCTTTCTTCTATTTCCCAAAATTGGAAGAAACTATTGCAAGGTTCCTAAGACCCAGTTACACCTCCCACCTCAATCTGTTCACTGTCATGCAAGACAATATACAGTATGCTGCTTAACCTTGAAGATCTACCTCCACCAACTTCTGAGGAAAAACTTTTAACATCTGGCATCAAGAAAAGTGACTTGACTAAAATCTACCTCCTACCATTCAAAGCCACGAGAGAAATCAAATTGATGATGTTCCAATACAAAATCATTCACCGAATTTTACCAACAAATAGCTTGTTACACAAAGTGAAAAAAGTTGCCTCGCCCTCCTGTCCCTTTGTCCTTCTGAGTGTCAGACCCTGTAGCATTTGTTTATAAACTGCATGTATGCAAGATCTTTTTGGAATAGATTCCAGGAGTGGTACATGATCTCTAGTAATACGAAACTGCTGCTGTCAGAACTAGAGATTATGTTCGGAATTATTCGCTGTCACACCTACTGTTTGGTCCTCAACCATCTCATTATTTTGGGTAAATATTTCTTATATGTTAACGCTTTAAATACCATAACATACCAGTTCAATGATTTTGTCTCACTTGCACCTGAAAAAATTTATCTAGAAAAATATATTGCAGTTTCTCATAAGGAGAAGGAATTCTGGAACAAATGGACATTTTTTTCTATCTTTTTAAAATTGTATTGTGTCCTTTTTCTTCTCAACCTTTGTATTTTGATTTGTTTCTTTTCGCTACCTATTTATTTAATAATCTATTAAGTTCTAGAAAATGAAAATCCTATGTAATGTTAATTAACAAACAAAATTCTTATTAATGACTCAAACAATAATGTAAATAGATCAACTGTAATTCAATTTGACCAGTGTAATTGTATTGTAATATATGTATTATAAGTAAGGCAAGTTAATGTGGTGTAAGCATCGTGTAAGAAGTGTAGTGTAAGTACCTATGTAAGTATAATACATAGAGAAAAATTGAAAAAAATTTAACCCTTTAACTCCCAGAAGTGATCCACATGAAACTTCTCCCTATTATGTTCATACATTATCCAGCAAACAGGTTATGAGAGTACTCAGATGTATCAGGTAGAAGTTTAAATCCTGATCTAAAACCAAATTCATTTATGTTATTTACAAGGAAGTGTGTAACGGCCAGAGGGAGAATTTACAATCACATCTTGGGAGTTACATGGTTAGGAGCTACTAAAAGAGAATCAGGAAGGAGGGAATCCCACAACACACAACTGTGACTTGTACAGGCAATGTTTTTCTTTTCTGGCATAAGTTACCTTGTCAAACAACTGAGGTCTCCATTGAAGTGAAAGAAGGACAAAATATTAGGAGTATGTAAACTGTAATTACAGAGGACCTTTAGTGTATACTTTCCAGGTTATTCTTGTCTCTAATTTGAACCCAAGTTTGCTGAAAACCTTAAATGACCTCAACCAGGTTTGATGTTGAATAACAATCAATGTATGAAACAAATAATTTTAGCCTTATCGCTAGGAAAGTCTGCATATGTGTAGTCTCCAGCAAGCTGCACAAGGCAAAACAAAAAAAAATTAAGAATGTGTTTTTGAAAGGCTGATTCATCTGCATTTCCAACTGCAGTCTCAATTCTACTCTTCATCAAAACAAATGACAGAGGTTAACATATCAATGCACTTTTATTGACTGTTCATAGTACAACTGAAAGTACATGTACTGCTCAAGTGCCTAATAAAGACGCTGGGGTTTTCCCATGGTGCTCTTGATATAGAGTGCACGTACATTTTGCCAGTTCTTCTTCAGTAAAGACACCAAGAAATTGACTGCAAGATAGACATTTGCTGCAAGTTCCTCATCAGACATCTCAACATGACCAATAGCCACAGCAAGACAGAGAACCTAAAGACCATCAGTAATGTAAAACAGTTAATGTGCAGAGAGCTGGAATCAATAATCTCAGTACTCTTGTAAACATAAGTCAACATATGGCATAGAACAGTCTTCAATTAAATGGTGAGAAGAAATCTAAGACTGCATAGCTTTTACATAGTGCTGAAATGTAATTTGTCTTAAAACTTCCACTATGGTTAATCACAGTTTGCTTTGAAGTGGCCAGTTTGCTTGTATTATTTAATTTGAATATCAAAGCTCCTTAATATTTTTCATGCATTCTGATTTGCAACTGTGACTACACTGTTTTAGTTTGGAACACCCAATCAAAAAGACCTCTATATTTCAGAAATGAATTGAACTTTACCCATTGCATCCCTAGAATTCCTTGCAGTTTTCAAATACATTAACTGTGCATTACAGTTATGCTTTAGTGACTGAGTCAATGTGTGATTTGCTGTTTATCGACCAAACGGTCTCCCCACAGATTTAAGACCCTGGGTGCAGGTCCGACCAGAAAACTTTCCTGGTCTTCCAGAATACAAGGCCTTACCAGTGCTCAAAGGATGATTTAACTACTGAATTATTTCCATATGAAAATGAAAAGTGTTTGTAAGTTACAACATTTTGAGACTCATTGCATGCAAGTGCTGTGATTATAATGCTAACAAAAACAGCCATTTGCCACAAATGATTAATCCCTAAGTTTACAGGATTTTGAGGGAATGAACCACCTTTGAGGTGCATGTATGTAAGCTGACAAGATCGTATGCATATCCCATGTTGTCTGATTTTGGAAAGAGTTTTGTCTGTTCATATGTATACATTAACCACTGCATTACCATGAGCACTGTGCCTTATTTCTGGTGAACATCCTACCTTCTTCATTTGAAACTTGATGGTGGAGCGCACTTCCTCTACTTTTTGCACCATGTTGTCATTGTGGGTCAATGCTGTGGGAAACTTGCCAGCTTTGTTCAAACCAGGTCCCAGGATACGAGGAATCTGTCTGATGAGACTGTCAGAGGCCAGGAAAGCATCATACTTTTTGGCTGAAATTAACACATCAACATAAGAGTCTTAATGTTTAAGGATACTATGCAATTATCAAATTAAAAAAAACAAAAGTCACAGCAACTCGTTCAATTAATATGTAAGACTCAAATTCTACAACTCACCCAGCTTTTTAACAAGTTTCTTGTTCTTGTTCAACTTTTTCAAAGCTTCAGCATCCATACAGGGGATGTCATTTGCCTTGGCCTCATCACAATGTGAGGCATCACCAAGAATACAGACCTTGAGCTTCGGTCGAGGAATATTCTTAAGCTTCACGGTTCCACTAAAACGCTTGTCCTTCTGAGGATCATAGTTCTTTAAACTGATTTGGAGCTCAACGGTCTCAACAAACTTCCTTTTCTTGTCCTTAGCTCCTTGGAGGACAGCACCACAGCACTCATAAAGTGTATCACGGTGGAGCTTACTGGTAAGGAAGTAAGCAAGCAAGCAAAAAAGTTACTTTTCTTTAGTTACGTACTTGCATCAATTGTCCTTAAAGTTTTCAAATTTTGCGAAGTGCAAGTTTTGTGAAGTTGCATAATACATTCAGGATGATCAAGAATCATCAGCGTGCGATGCACTGTAACCTTGATGACCACTGTAACTATAACAGTGTTTTCCGTTCGAGGAATTGAAGATCAATTTCAACTGCTGAGGGATTACTTTAAATAACATTACGCAGTGAAACACAGAAAGAAGTCTATGGATTTAAGTATCTAAAATCTCGAATAATGCAACACCTTCAAACTCGATTTCAGTTGATCAAGAGATTTTCAATCACCAAAAGGGTGTTCGGGTCACAGTCAATTTCGCTCTTCAATACTTCGAGGAATCGACAACACTCGACTACTTCACATTGCTACAATGATCGATCGCCATTTTGCCTTTAACTCCTCATTCCACAATCTCCTCAAATTTAATCTTGATGAAATGGTTGAAACCATATACTTCACACTTCAAAATTAGAAACACTTTTCCAATTCATTTTGGCATGACTTGGTTTTGGATGGCCTTATAACAACTACAAAAATTGAAGATTGCACTTGCTCCTACCTCATTTTATTACAGTTGGCGAGCAGAGAGAGAGAAAGAGAGGAAGGCTTACAGCGAAAAGCCGCAATTATACTGCGGGCGCGTCTCTAAAAAGGTTCATTCCCAAGCTCTCTCACTCCGACTAGAAAAGCAGAGAGATTGTGATTGTCTCTGAATGGAAGGGCATTACCTACCGGTTACCGGCTTTCAAAATAGAGATTATCACCTCCAAGCGAAGACGAGAAAAAGACTAAACCATCCTAGACAGAAAATTGGTTGACATCAAAATTCATGTGCAGTTAATTTTTATTCTCAAGGAAAGACTGGGAAACTTGAGTGACAGATTTTGAAGACTGTTGAGGATTCAAGTTTAGTTAAAGTACTGTACTCGTACGCGGCAATCAACATTTGCAGAGTAGATCATAAAAAAAATTGCTGCTACACTTCACAACCGGTCGTGACTTACACCAGGATTAGAAATCACAGTTTTTTTTCGCGACTTTACCGACAGACAAAATGATCCAAATGATGTCGATAGCACTCCATTCTCGACAAACACGCATATTAATTTAAGTTTCTGGATTAGACGGTATCGATCACCATAGAAGTTTTATGTTTATATTCGTAATCTTCTCACTCAGAATGTTTACTGTTTGGGCAAAGTTAGCACAATGTTCTGTTTGACTTTAATTTTTTTGGTATGCTGAAAAGGCAACAGTTTTTTTGTGTGTTTTTCAGTCGCAAAGCAGCAAACGCGAAGGGCGAGTCACAACAGAATAAAACAACGAAGTTCAGAGTTTTCTCACCCAATGCCTACACAGGAAGCTTTCGCTTTGGCTGATGGTAACCGTACACAGGACATTTGTCACATAGCACCCTCGTGTGTGGTGTGGGTGGTGGTTAACCCCTTAACTCCCAAGATCTGATTGTTAATTCTCCCCTGAAGCTTTTGCACATTTCTTTGTACATTACTTACAAAATTCGGTGGTAGATCAAAATAAACAACTCAGTTCTACCAGATAAGTTTGAGTTCAAAAAATATCATCATCTGTTCGCTAGATCATGTATGGATATTAAAGGGAGAAGTAACAAGCAATCATTCTCTTTGGGAGTTAAGTTAGGTTGGTGGAGAACCTGACCACAAAATAGGAAGGTTTAAAGTTCTTCTGCGGCTTCGAAATTCGGAACGGCGATTGAGTTTGCCTTAAAAATGTTTGATGTTTTGGGCACTGAACTAAGGACACAGAGGAAAACAAGTAAGTACAATGTTGTGGGTTACTACGGATCTTTTACTGAGCAATGCGTTGCAGCGTAAGCACTGATTAGAGAAAAATCACACTCTAGCGCATTGGGACTCTCCCAATCCGTCTTGCGAAAGAAGTCCTGCCGGTCGGTTACTTTTTGCGTCCAAACATCACACCCAATGCCTTGGACAACTTTTCATCGTGTTTCCGTTCCTTCTCCGTTAGAATTCTTAGTTGATATTGAACTGCTCTGTTGGACGGGTCAAGTGTCAAAGCCTGAAAAAGAAAGTTAATTAATTTTAGGTGGGTTAACCTTCGCTTTATATGGAAATTTCCTGACTCGTATTGAACTCAAATTTACAGAGATCGAGCTGTGGAATTGCAAATTGGTCCTCGACGTCGGAGCCTTAACACTGCACGCTTATTTTTTAACTGACACGTAGTTTTCATTCCTCTCTCTCGTTTCTAGATTTTTTTGCCTATGAAGAAAACCCTAAAAAAATCGAATACTTGTACCATCCCGTTTATTCTTAGATTCAATCAGTGTGTTTCATTGGGTAAGGTCAACTCAAAGACGTTCACACGATTACCTGCGCTAAACTAAGACCAACATATCACGGTTGAAATCAGGATTCTAGATCTTAAATGACCGTTTTTTTCTCATGGAATGGCATGCTTTAGTTAACTTATTTTTCCTTCCCTGCGTTAATATAAACTACGGTACCTTCTCTAAGTCCCCTCTTGCCTTCTCAAACTCATTCAAGATAACAAATGCCTATGGAGAATTAGGACACTATTTACCAAAATAAATAAAGTACAACCGTGCACATTTTAAATAAAGACAAAAAACAGTATTTGAAAAGTAGCTTTTCTGTTTTTTGCACGAAGAACTTGTTAAGATATCTCGCTATAGACGTTATGCAGTAACACCACGCAACACAGTGTTTTAAAACACGTAACAACTCAGATTGCCTACATATGCGCTAGTGCCTTTTCAATGTTAAAAACATTTTAAATAACCTCAACAAGTAAATCAACCATTTAGGTGGAAAAGGATATCTGTATATAATATCATCTCACCTGTCCACGTCTGTAGAGAGCTTTAATATTTTCTGGCCATAAACTTAGTACCTACAGTACAAGTTCAAATAAATATTAAAACCAAAATAATACCAAAATGTACTATAAACCTGTATCACAAAAAATTAATATTAAATAAACAACTGGAATTTTTGAGTGATTGATGGCAACTTTAATTACACTACGTGTACTTCTGACGTGCTTGATGTCAAACAATAAAACTAGAAAGCCCTTATTTTAACATTCTAAACTAAACAGTATTAAAAACAAATCTGTAGCAATCCCTTTGAAAATAACCCTTTCCTTTTTGTTTCCTTCTTTCTGTGAAACACAACAGTTTTTATGCTCCCAAATAAGCTACATGTAGTTCAATGGGTTGCATGACAATGGTTTTCAATCTGGAAGGCTTAATATGGCCAGCAATGTTACTACAAATAACTTTGTACATGTGACATGTACTAAGTCATTATTACAAAGTGCACAACTGAAATGCACTCAGTTCTAACCTTTGTACAGTTAAGTGCTACAAAGTCATACTGTCCTAGCTTTCCTTGGCATGCAGATAAGTTGAGTAGACAAGCAGCCTTCAGTTGTTCCTGTTCTTCCATCTGTTCAGACAATGTATTGTCTATCAAAATCAACTGTTTAAGGGCTTGGCTATAACGCCTTCCAGCGCAGGACCATTTTCCAGACTTAAAAAGAATCATAAGGAATACATTACAAAAGCAGTTACACCAGAGGAGGATTCAGGATTTTTCTAACAAGGAGGTTCAACATTAAAGAGGGGGGGGAGGCTTAAAAAGTTTTTAAAAGCAAACATCACAAAAGAAGGCTTATGACTATGTAATAACATAAATTAATGTGAACTAAGGATATTACATGACAGATGATACAGAAGATTTTGTTCAATTGTAAGGTTGGTAATTTAAGTAGGGAGAGGGGTTTACACACCCCCCGCATTCTCCCTTAGGTTCACCTACGTCCACATGCATGAGTACTGGGATGGTTCATACTGGACAAACTGAAGCTTTGACTTAAGGCAGCTGACAAACAACATACAGAAGCCACACTTGACATACACATTTAGGACATGTACCTGTCCCTGGATTTGAATAACTAAAATATGAACAGATTTGAATGATTGGAATATGCTTAGTGTGATTTACTCTTTAACAACACTTCACGGCAGTCAGGGAATGAACTAAGAGAGCACTGCAAAAAACGAGGTGTGTCAACATTTACAAAATGAGCTGGGAAATGAAAAGCAACCTTGAAACAATCTGTTCCTTTATCTTTATGGTGTTTGGCAAGAGACATTTTCTCCTCTGGAGTAGTTTCCCAAGGCTCTTTTGCCTGCCAAAGTAAAAGGAAAAATTGGAGGAATGTGAAGTGTATGTGTTGAGATTTTTCTATAATTAAGATACCAATTGTTCTGGATAAAAAAAATCAGTTCTGGTCAGTAATTTTTTTGAATATACTATGTATACCCCTTCAGCTTGTTTCTTTTGTTAACAATTTTAGGTCATGGGAATTTAGTCACAGAAAACTTTTTTTCAAATTTCATTCTACTTCACATGCCTTTGTACAAGAAATATGGTGAAGATTATAGTGATCGTCATCACAGCAATGAACACCTACAGTATAAGCAGTAGTGAAAATTACTGGGAGTTGGTCATTTTGTTTGTTTGTAATAAATCTGTCAGTAGTAATGAATAAACAACTGCCAATAATACACATTATATCTTTGAACTGCTGATTATTTAAATGAAGATGAGAGTGATCACCGTGCACTAACAACACTTCTTAAGTAATAGTGAAAATAAAGCAGAAAAATTCAGGCTTGTTTTGTTTTGTTCGCTTGTGAGCTCAGTTGTAAGCTTAATTGTTAAGGCAGTCTGCACCAGAATTTGGGTTCAACTCCTGAACAAACCTGAATTTTTTTCAAAAGCAGTATCTCTATAAGATGATAACTAAGGAAATTTCTGTATATGCATGTATGAATTTACAGTAAACCGTACCTTGGAGAAGGAAAGAAGTTCAATTTCACATTTTAGATCCCTTTCAAAGACAATACCAAGCTCTTGGCACAAATTGTCATCATCAAAAGGTATCGAACAGACTTCTTGAGCATGCATACACTCAAGGCATTTGTCCAAGGTCTCAGATACCTCATTGTCACCTTCAAAGTAAGCAAAAAAAAACACAAAGATAGAATATATTCAATAAATGCATGATTTAATTGACATGACCCTTTTTTCAGTCAGCTACAAGTTACTTAATCTGAGAAACTGTCATTTTATGTATTTCACTGAATTAACAATGGTATCATCAAGAAAAGGACATAGTGGTACAATTTTTGTAACAATATAAACAAACAAGAAAACGTAAATTACATGCTGGATCAATCGAACGCTTGTAATTTAATGTAGTGTTTTGAATAATGATAATGGCGATTCATGACCTGGGAATACACTTGAACATGCCAAGTAATCAAACTCATACATAGATTACTTGCCTTCGCCTATAACGACTTCCTTCTCGGTATTATGAAGAATTGTGCCATGCGGAGAAGAAATCTTCAGTTTGACTGCGATGAAGCATATTTAAAAATACAATTAAACATTGCAGATGAATCAAATAAGACGTAAAATGTGACTTAAACCGTCACCTTTACATGATGTTCCATAATTCGGTGTTTCTAGTCCAGTTCCTTTTTGAATTATAGTCTTCGTTAAGGCTGAAACACGGGTATCAATCATTTTCGTCCGCCATGTTGGAACAGAAATAAGCTTTGTTGTGATTGGCTTATACCGGAGAATGGACCAATTACACGGCTTTTAATATATTAAAGTCTTTATTGACAAAGAAAAGAATCGTGCTTGTGAGTGCTTTATCGCACGAATTTTTGTCCCTCCTTTTTCATGGCGGAAGCGATCTTCTGCGGTAATGGTCCGGCATGTTGAAATTAACCATACCTTTAAACATCCATTTGAGAAAGTGATCAGTGCCTACTTTCAAAAGGTTTGTTAAAATACGTCAGTACAGTACATGCATGTGTGTTAATAAGTACGGAGCACAATTAAGAAATTTTTGTCCAAGCAAAAGAATGCAAATTTGTAAATATAATATAGAATATGTCTAAAAGGTTAAAGTACTCAACTACTCATATGTTGTGAATCAAATTGTGATTACTGTACTTTTGACCGCCACATTTATGTTCACATTTCAATGCTATAGACCTTATGCAATGTAACGAATCTCTAACAGTTGTACAAAAATAAGGAGTTGATAGTGACTGCCTCTTTTTCTTTTTATCACTGTTGTGCACACTTGTGTTTACATGTATGCTCAACAATAGTACACATGTGGTAAGGATTCCAATGTGACCTCCATAACAGTACTGCAACACAAAACAGGTACGTAGTCTATGTTGCTGTATTCCACTTTTCTGAGGTCTCCAAGGGCTGTTTATTTTGAACGATATGTATGCTACTCATTTTCTATATCAGATGGTATCAGGAAAAACATTGAAATGGCCTCTTAATAAATTATTACTGCTGCAGTTCATTTGATTCAGTGGTGTTACTGATGATAGAGATGCTGATAGAGACACTGCCTCAGTCATTTTAGAGTGACTGGCCCATTACAAATGGCCAAAACTGATTTTACTCCATTTTGTTAATAAACTTCTGTTGGTACCATTATTGAATGTGTCATATTCTATATAATATCATATAGACTAATTAATAAATTTACCCACTTATGGTACTTTACAGTTGTAGAATACAGTACTATTTACAATATGTGACCCTCCACAGGATGTCAGGGAATAAGGTGAATGTATGCACATGGCATGTTTTAGCATGCTCGCATGCTAATGGCATGACTTACCTACCGTGCAGATATGTGCATTGATTCTGGAAAGCGTGTTGTAGCTATTGTTCATATCTGGCTAACATGGTAGAGATTTGTTTCAATAACATGGTAGATTTTTTTTTTTTTTTTATAACACACTAAGTTCCTTTGTTTCCTTAACAGGCAAGCTTATCTCATGTAAGCCACTATACTTTGTTACTTGTGTTTGTCAGCTTCTCAATTGTGAGAATGGTGTTTATAATTACGTACAGAATATAAGCAGATCTTCTGTCCAAGTCAAAAGTTGTAATAAAAAAGGAGACATTTATAGTAAATCATGGCTCTTTCCCTCAGGATTTTCACAATCTGCTAGGTGTATTGGTGAGCTAAAAAGCCTTACCACTTAGGATATACTTCTTGTACAAATGGAAAGCAACTTTAACTTTAAGAGATGTGTTATAAAATTATATTGTGCAAAGTTGCAAGCAAGATCTTAACACGTTTCTTTTATTTCTACTGTGCAAAGCAAGATAATGGCTGCAAAGTTGATGAGGCAAGTAACTAACATGCAGCTAACATGGTAAAAGTTAGTTCTTTTGTTTTAAGCGTGCGAGTGTGCTTTGTGCATGCATGCACCTTATTCCCTGAAAATTCCCGTGGAGGGTCATAGATGGCAGTTTCCCCAACTTTAGTCACATTCTCATTTCTGCACTATATTTTTTGTTTTTGCTGTAATTAAGTTGGCTATGTTTTGTTTGGTTTTTGTGATCTTGAAGACCCAGAAACTGGAGAAGAATATATGTTAAGAAGAGGAGAGTGTGTGAATGTTTTGCCTGGTTTCTTTAAAAAGGTATGAACTTATAACTATACATGCACATTACGTTGATCATTGTTCTTGGATGACAATGCACAAAACTATTTTTTCCTAACATATGTCATACTACTTGCAAACAGAGTTCTAAGGTCTGAACTCCCATCTCACTGCAAATCTAGGTTTGGTTAATACCTATACTTTTAAACATTTTATCATTCTTGCATATCTGTTAAAAAAAACTAAAGCATTTTGACCTCACTCGTGTGCTTTTATTACTGTACTTTTTTAATTTGTGGTCATCTGACTTTTTTAATCACTTGGAATAAATGATTACAGACTGTAAGTGAACTCCACTTAGTCCTATTACCATTACATGTAGAGACACTTCAGACTGTTTTTTATGGCAGCATTGTTATGCACTTCTTTAATCAACAGATGGTAAGTAATATTTCAAGCGCCCATAAAAATAAATTACCTCACAGAAAAACTTAAAGTTGTTACTGTAAATGTTCTATTTCTAGCTATGTCCATTCCCAGCAATTCAAGTAGAAGAGGAAGCATGGCTCAATAGTAAGGAGAGACATCTTCGTCTTCATAGTTATAGCCTTACATGGTCTAAATATGCATCCCTGGAAGAGTTCAGCACTTTTAAAGCATGTGAAAACAATCCAAACTGGTATGTCACCTACTTCATGTACACAAATAAATTTCTCGGACACTCAGAAGCAAATAATGATGCAAGAGGTATATGAAATGGGGCTTTCAGCTGAATGCAATAGTGCAGCCAAAATCACCATTTTATCATCCTTTTTGTCACTTGTTTTCCCTTAGGTCTGGGAAGATACTTGAGAGATGGTTACTCAAAACTAGTGATACACTTTTAAAGCTACTTTATGCAGTCAGAGAAATACATTTGCATACATTAAACAAAATAAATGGCAAAAAATGTTGATTTTGTTTGTTCTCAATCTTGATTTCACAAATTTTACAAATTCTGTTTGTACAAATTGAGACAACACTTTTATATGACTAGCAAATTTAACTTAAGTTGCCTCCTCTCCAACCATGTACTTGTAGATTCTGAGACTGAAGAATCATTGAAAAATAATTGAAAAATCATTAAAAAATCATTGAAGAATCATGGAAAAATCATTGAAGAATCATTGAAGAATTGTTGAAAAATCATTGAAGAATCCCTGAAGAATCCTTGAAAAACCATGGAGGAATCATGGAAGAATTATTGATCAGAAGAGTATTTTTGTATGGTGGTAAATAATTAATTTTGGTGTAATTCCAACCATGTTTTATTATATCCCTCGGCAGGACATCATTTGAGCAGCATGGTAGTATCAGTGTTTATGGTGTTGGCTCATTTATTGGAGGAATGATGGAATCTTTTGGACAGTCATTTCTTCAACATGGAGCAAACAAGGTTAAAAAGATCAATTTAAGAAAATTAAGAAATCACACTTGCCTATCACCTCTAATTAACTTAATATGTTCAAATTTTTGGTTATTTTACCCAGCTCAGTTTTGTTTTGTTTGCAGGGTTTTAACATTATGGAAGATCTGATAATGACAATGAGTGGAAGGTATACAGAAGCATGAAAGAGTCAGCCTTGACTAGAGCACATAGTTTTAGTTCTGCTAACCAATTTTTTTTACAATTTTTTTTATGCTGAAAGATTTTTTTGAGTTCTCATTATGAAATGAAAACAACCTGTTCATTTTAAGACAGCACAATGGTGTGGAAAGTTCACACTGAGATGTTACCGAGTATTCTTTCATTAGTTAGGGCACTTTTGTAAGGACCAAAAAGTCTCTGATTGCTTTCAAGAAAGCAACATTCTTTCTTGAACTTTTGAAGTCCTCAATGTAATATATTTACAGATTAAAAATGTATGATATGAGGAAAAAAAAAAACAAAATTGGTTGGTCCAATTACAGGTTGTCAGTTAACTGTTGTTTGACCACTGAACTTTTGTTGATGATTAATGAGTTTTAAACAGGGATGATTATAGATCACTACCTGCATTTCTCTTGAGGGCTGTTGCATAAAATCTCTCCTTTGCTGAAACCTTCTTTGAATGAAGGCAGACACCAAAATTACTTTTTATTTTCTACACAAAACCAAATTTAAGTGGATGGCTTGAACAGAAATTTGAGCTTTATTGAGTTTTAAAATGTTTATTCCTGTAAATAATTTTGTTCAATTTTTTTGTCCACCTGAATTGGTCATACTTGAAATGTTGACTAGTCACTTTGTTCTATTTGGGTTATTAATCAACCAATGATTACTTGTACAATGACAGTAAACTATTATTCCGTAACACTCTGTAGGGAGTGAACACTTCCGAGAGTCCAGTTGGTACCCTTTTAGCACAGGTTTCAATGTTTTGAGAAATACAATTTGCTACAAAATTTGGCTCCTTTTCAGCTTCCCACTCTTGCATTTTGGACCTCCTATCTTCAAGTTTATTCCTGATGTGAATTTTCTATGGCTATTTGTGGGTTTTTCGATTTCAACCTCCACTATATTCAGATGTTTCAAAATCTGCACAAGACTACTTGGGAGTGGGGTCTCATCAAAAGGGGTGAAAAACATAAATGTACTCTTCCTTTTGGCTTTTGGTCTTTCCCTGGCATTCTAGCATATACAAATAAACATAGCTTTTGGAGAGGAGATTTAAAAGAAGTGCTCAACTAAATGAGTGATTGTCATACATGTTGGGAGAGGGGAAGACTCCAATAATATGAGGCAATGTCAATGACTGGTAATTGAGATTTAATTAATTGAAGCATGATCAATGCTCACTGGACAGAAGTGTCTGACCTGAGAAAACTAACCTTGCAAGCGATAGGCAATAGTTAAATTTCAAACCGATCATCCAATTGCTAAGAACATTAATTGAATTCTTAAATCCAAACTTAATTAAGAAAAAATACTATTTAAAAAAAGAAACAATTTCAATTTCAAAGCTATTAATTTACTTGATAATTTTTTTCTCTTTAATACATGTATATTGTTATCCTGTTTCTTGCAAGCTACAGATAGGATGATTCATTTGGAATTTTTCACGCAGCACACCCTGTAGCTTGTTTAACATCGTTAATAAACTTCTGCACGGTTCCTTTCCCAGCTGAAGTGTTGTAATATTTCTTCCAGTACTGAGCTTGAGCAGTAAGGTCAGCTGGAATAGGAGCAGGAATCCTGGCGAGAAACAATCGAGAAGCCAATCCGGAGTACAGCGGCTTTTCCAAATCTGACCATGAAGTTTTTTCCCAGTCTATATGCAGTCGCTCCTTAATTCGGTCCCAGTACTTCCTTAGGCCTTGCTGGATAACTGTTTCGCGATAGCCAATAGAGTCCACCTATGACGAGGGTATTATGAATGGGATTATAAAAATAGGTGGCGCCTGAAAGATAGCTATGACCTGCGCGCAGGCTCTCTTCAGCGCTGCGTCATGAGTGGCGAAGCGCGTGAGTCGAGCTGTCAAGCGTGCGAGCTCGAATGGCTAGCAGACTTGAACGCTTTGGCTTCGCCATCCATTGCACTGCACCAGCGAGAGCCCACGACATAGAGGCAGAACAAGAAATACTAACCCATCAAATGAAGTACATATTTATCAGCTCTGGTGACTCGACCTTATATCATGCTCTCGCTGTTCACTTTCAACACGTGTTCATACGTATTTCAGTACTCTCATCTCTAAATTGGTCCCTTTAGTATTATTAACTGGTTGATACCGTAAATTGTCCACCGTAAAGAGCCTCAAAGCTAGCCTTTACGGTGGCCAATTTACGTTATCAACTCAGTTGATAATACTAAATTACCCTGTTATACTATCCCACCGACGCAGCACCACAGTTTCTCTAGTAACTTACACCCTTTATTCTCAATTGGTACTGTTTAGCGGTGCTGCATTTCCGTAAAAGGCCGTAAGAGGTTTGTGTTATTGGAGGGGGGGGGGGGGGGAGGGGAAGGAGGGGGCAAGAAAAACACGCACCTTCAATCGGTTTGTTACTGTTATAGTCTGTGCCGGATATTGGGGGAGTACGGAAATAGTCCATTTGTTAAAGACTTTCCGAGAGAGCTACAAGCATCATAATTGGGTAATTATGCCGCATGCCTACTCCCCTCGTATTCCTCTCTGGAAATTAAATGAATACCATTACACCCACTCCCCTCCCCCTTTCCCCCCTCTCCCCCCTCTCCCCCCTCATCACTACCCAACCGAGTCTCAGATCACTGTAGGTATCTTTTCCCGGACCAATATCTTTACCTGCCAAATTCCCCCGTAATAAGATGGCCTATACGTTCCTGGCGCCACTCCATATTTGGACTCGACCCAGGCAACGCGACAAAGGAACTTGTGATCGTTTGGAAATATACCCAAGCTATTGATCATCTCTACAACATCGGCAACCACATCGCCTCCTTTTCCTTTTGGGGTGTAAGGAGAGTCAGCATCACAGCCTAGAAAATGTTGGGCGACGAGACCGAAGACTATGATCGTCAAAAGCATGTTCTGCCAAGAAAAAATGTTCAAGAAATGAAAAAGAGATGAGTACGAAATAGGGTAGCGACAACGGTGAGCAGAGGTGGGTAGCAGTGTCCTGTGTAGTGGTTCACGTGGTCTCCTTTTGGACCGAAACAATAAGATGAAATTAATAATAATTATTGAATCCCGACGATCAAACTTCATTATCAATAACTTCGTTGTGTTTTGTTTTCGAAGTTGTTTCTGTTTCGATCATAGTTTCACAAGTAGAGGCACATTGACATTGAAATCTCAAGCATTAAAAAATTTCAAAAGTCAGTCACGGTATACTGAATATGGGTCTCTCATAACGCTATCTAGACAATTTCAAGCTTGATTTAATCATTCCAATTGCGCCGGTTAGGCACGTTAATACCACATGTTTGATTTAGAATAAACAGACCAACAGATGTGAAAGTCTACATATGTTTTGTAAAGGCGTTCACTTAAATGAAGTATTTAATGGATTCTCCTATCCTCTCACCATAACTCAAGCAAATGTAGATATTGTTTAGAAGTTACTTAGAGTATTTATTTTGCAGAATGTGATCACTAGTCGGAAAATCGAAATTTTTTTTTTAAATAGATTATTGCTAATTAGTAATTTTTCTGAGGGGAAATCGCAAATAAGAAAATGAATGTCGTCTGCATTGCTCGCCCTGGATTTTTTAGAGGCCGATGCTGGAAATGCAAGATATTCGTTGGTAACTATTGTAGGTCAGAACCTCAATTTTAATTACGATGCTCGAATGCCAATTTCTGTTACATTTTAAGGCTGATTAAAAAACTGTTAACTCGCCGTTCGTGTCTGAGTGGGTTAATCAGGAATCAAGTCTGAGCCCTAGTTATAGAACGAGCAGTAAACATCACGAAAATTGCTGTTTAAATTCGCATCTAACCGCGTGCATTTTGCTTACTTAAACATAAAATTCGTCTTACCACTGGGGTTCTCAGATAGCGTCCTCTGGTCTTCTTCTTCGCACGCTAGAACTAATGAAATAATTTTCTTTTCTTTCCTGTTTTTATAACTGATCCTAATAAAAAATGATTGGTTGACTAATGAGGTGGTATGATATGACCGATGAACCTTGACAACGATTATATTGCAATTTTCGGTTTCGAGATGATACGTTTCTGAAACGGATGACGCAAATGATGAAAGGATTAACCTGATACGTGATATTCGTGCTTTCATCTTTGATATCAATGCGAAGTGTTTCTTTCATCAACATCACAATGTTCAGGTGTTGTCAGTTTCACTTTTGGTATAACATGTTCCGGTAAATAGCTGACCATATTGATTTATAAAGTCAGACGTGTAGATCAGGTGAGGCCAGGTATGCTACGATAATTTAGTTTTCCGAGTTTTCGCCGATCTACAGCATCATGGAATCTTGATTCCATCTACATTTCTTGATGATGCCGTAGATCGACGAAAGCTCGGAAAACTTAATTATCGTAGCATACCTGGCCTCACTTGATCTACACGTCTGACATTATAACACCTTCCTACTCAAGGACAAAATCCAACGCTTGAAATTGACTTATGTTCGTTTTAGCCAGCGAAAAGAATGAGGCAGAATGACTTGGTGTTCTGAGAAAGGAAATCGCGTATTAATGAGAAAGGTTCAACTGTCAAATTGAAGTATGCTTTAAAATGTAGGTGTCTTATCTTTCCGCTGTCAGATTGATGAGCTACCTAGTGCTTTCCGCCTCAACGCAAACGTACTTACATCACGACAATCCCTTTCTTAACATCCAGTTACGCAAAATGTTTATTTTGACTCAAGATTTTTTTCTCCAAACTTAAGGTTACTTCCCACCTACGCGGGTGTCCTTCGAGAAAAAATTCGTATGCGCGCTACTTTTACTAAAATCCTAGCAAACTATACATCAGAAGAAAGCTTAATAAATGCAGTTTACGATAAAAAGATAATTTAAGCGACTTTTTTTTTTTAAAGGAAGTGTCAGGAGCCGGTAAGGCGTGAAACGATCGAGGGTTCTTCTATTGAATTTATCGGGTATCGGATGCCGCATTATGAGCCAAATGGCTGCACGCTCTTACTCACAAGGCATCAATCAACAACAGTGTGTCAGGCTTTTTCGATATTCTGATGGTTGTCTAGATGTCGATATCTAAATTTGGGTAGCTAAAAATATGCGAGGCGTGTTGCGTAAGTGCACGTCATGAGACAAATATTTCAAAGATCAAAATTTCCCGACACGCTTTCGTTTTCCATTATTCCTGGAACGTTTGGGCGAAATTTGATGATAATCGGTCAAATCCATTTACCCCATGAATTCGCTCAAAGTGGTTGTATTCCTTCCAAAATCATATGCGAAAGGTTCGAAAATAACTCGAGCCAAGCCAGCAGATTATCTGGGCTCTTGAAATTCTGATGACATTATGCCCCTTTCAGTTCCAGCAGGAGAGATCAGTTGCTCTTACCACTTTATTGCCGGGTAGTAATCATAGTATTTCACTGCCATCCAGTTCAATGCCGACCACTTTGTTTTGATAGTTTGAAAAGTCCCTTATAAGTTTAAAAATAAAAGTTTTTGTTTCAATGAATTCTGAGCACTTAGACCAAATGCTTAAACATAGACATTCTGTGGAAGAGAAAATGAATTTGAGCTATTGACTACAATTATTTCCTTCGTCTTTCACCAGTATTTCGCCCAGGGCATCTATCATAGAAATAAAAATACGTTTACAATACCATATGGCCCGTATTATTGCGGCAGACTGGTAATTTTTATGGTCTTTTATTGAACAGATTCGTCATCTATTTTACACAGCGCAACCTTTGGCGTGTTTAACATCATCAATAAACTTCTGTACGGTTCCACTACTAGTGGCAGCTTCTGTATTGTAGTGAGTCTTCCAGTACTGAGCCTGACCGGTCAAGTCCCTTGGAATAGGTGCGGAAAGCCTGGCGAGGAAGAGCCTAGCAGCCAATCCAGAGTACAGCGGTTTTTCCAAATCTGCCCAACTTGTACTGGTCCAGTCGATATCAAGCTCGGCTTCGATTTTGTCCCAATATTTCTTCAGACCTTTCTGAATAACAGTCTCTCGATATCCAATCTCGTCCACCTACGCAACAAAAGTGCATTACTTAAAATATATTCTAGGTCATTCAAGGTTAGACAATGTTGGAAAGGCAACATCGCTCTATCCATAGAGAGCTGTTGCATGGCTTTGTAAGCCCATTTGCCAGTGTTAAATGATGTGAAAAATAATGAAGAAATTCATTTAACGTTCTCTTGGAAATTCTTCAAAATATTACTATTTTTAGATCTACCCCCGATTTCGAAAGTTTGTATCAATTTTTTTCGAAGGGAAATACATTCTCATCAAAGCCGGGGCGAGGTTAGAGAGTTATTCACGATAGTAGTTTAGAACCATCTTATTCAGGTGAGAAAATTAAATGCTAAGCTTATACCTGCCAAATACCTCCATGGTAGCCACGTCTATATGTACCAGGGTCTTCACCATATTTTGATTCCACCCATGCTATGCGGCAAAGGAACTTATGATCATTTGGAAATATTCCTAACCCGTTGATCGTGTCTACGACTTCTTTCACAACGGATGAACCCTTTCCCTTAGCTGTAGTAGTCATGCTTTACTGGAGAAAGAAGACTAGAAAACAGAAAATTCATCAGAGGGGTTTTACGATGGAAATTATACAATGAAGGATTAACTTACAGGAATAACCAACCACGAAGGATCAATTTTCCTTTACGCTGGAGCATTAAATACGTTTTAACCGATTGTGTCTTTTTCTTATTACGTTAAGAGTTTTGTCTCAGAACCAAAATTAGACAGTTACTTGCGAAATTACATGAATAATGTAATGAAATTATGGACAATCCGCGAAGGACAACACAGAAGATATTTAAGAAAACACGAGCTCCGTTGTCGCAGTGTATAAGCTACTGGTTTGGAATTAAACAGCCTTATGTGAGGGTTTCAATGGGGTGATGGCTTTTAGGGGTAATGGTTAAAATTTTGACCATTTTACGGTTAACGGTTAACATCATTCTATTGTTGTCACCGCTAATTTTTTTTTTTACGGTAAACTATCGGTTAAAATTTGTCAATTTTTTTTCCCAACGGATAATTTAATTTTTGGCCTTTTTACGGCGATTGTTTAACTTCATGAAGATCCTCTCATGTCAGGTGGCGATAAATCACCGAACTAAATACGTCTTTCATATGCAAAAAAACAAAACAAAACAAAAACATTGCGACATTCACTCGAGTGTGTCGGAAATGATAGTGAAACCTATGCAATTACCTCTTCTCGCTAGAATCCCTGTGATGTAATGCAAAATAAAAAGTTTTAGATGTCCTAACTAGAAGCCCATAAAAATAACCAAAAATTTCTTTAAAATCGACCGGTAGATTATTAGCTTTCCCTTATCGGCGATAGACGCTGCTTACACGTAACTGAACACACTAAATAACAAATCTTCAGGTGATAAAAGCGAAAGTTCTCGGCGGAAGTGCTTAGCAATCTGGTTTTCAGTTTCTACCTGTCATGTCTCATAATTCAGACTTCATAAGTTGTTCAACAAGGATTCAGAACGAAATAGAGGTTTATTAGAAGCGACGGCGATGTTGAGTATTTGCATTCGACGCATACTAACTCGCCCCTTCGATGCCTGCTACAATAACATCTCAAACGAAAAAGCTGGTAGTATTGGCTTGACGTATTCGGCATGGGATAAATTTTGAACATTACCGGTGCCAAATCACTTAACAACATCCACTATTTTCTCACATAGCTGTATATATAGCTTGACTCTAATCCTTAACTGATTAGTGCTTTGCCTGTTTGGTGGCATTTCAATGAAATAGGCGTAAAGGCGGAAGGGAGGCTTGCCACGACTTGGCTCTCTTAGCATCTTTTGTACTGATATATATATATATATGTGAATATGCTCTTAACAAGACGCTTAAATGTCATAGTGCACGTAGCATAATTTCTTAAATCAAGTGGAGGAACTGGTTTGATTAAAACATCGGTCGCTGTGCGTAGAAAAAGCAATTGTTTACCAAAACGGAAGTGGTGAGCGGGAGGTTTTCTTCACTCTTACGTGACAAAATTCATAAGAGAGTCTATTATCAGGACTAACTTGGTAAGAGGGATACTATTTAGTTTTATAAACACAAAGCCTAAGCTCTTAGTACAGGAAATTAACTTCATAGGACTTACCCAAGCTTTTCTGTTCGATCCTTTGTTAAACAACAGCCCAAACGGACGATTTGATGCTTTCAGGCAGCTTGAAATGATAATGATATTAATTCTACATGTATTAGCATATCTGGACTGATTTACAATTATAGACAGCGGGTTGGTCAGTTTTTCCAGATGTTGATGTAAAATTTTAAACGCAGTGTCATTTGTAATACAATCCCTAGTTTTTAAAATGATGCAAAAGATTATTTTTTTCTCGGAAAAGAGATACGTAGTAGCTTCACAATAATCTTATTGACTGTAAGCCAGTTCTGGGAAATGACTCGTAATTCGAAAATCGTTAGCTTTCCCAGGTTTGGACAGCTTAACGCGCAGTTCCTGCGAAGCAGTGGATTTTTTATTTTCTAAAATCTGATTTAATTTAATGATTGCCACTCAGAAAACATGGAATAAAAAAGATTGATTAAAAACTGATTGAAGTTCACCTAAAAATCTGAGGTAAGTATATTTCACCAAATGTAAGGTGTTTCCTCGAGAAAAAAAAAGTTATCGAACATCTTTTTTTAACTTTCCTTCGATTTTCTCTACTCACGTCTGTTTCAAAAAATGTAACTGAAAAGATACTTAGGTCAGTGTGCTTGTTTAAGAGATATTATGTACCGAACTTACCCCGTATTTATGCCTCTACGGGCACTAATCACGCGCGTCATTTCATCGGTTCACGATACACTTTAAACTTGAAAAAAAAACTTGATGGGTAGGAAGTCTTAGAGATATAGAAAAATTTTATCCATAAATTGTGGAAAAAGTCACGCAATTTTAAACGACATCGACTCAACACGTTCCTTAAGGTCATAATTTGCATCATTGAGTGCAGGCTTTTCAATTAGCTACATCTTTTTTTCCCTTCGATGACTTTTTTTTTCCTAGTTTCGTCCAATTTAAAGGGAATAATTTGTACACCAAAATTATGTAGTAAAAAAATATAGGTCATCGTGCTCGTTCAAGAGCTACAGACCATTGTACCTCTTTACCTGGTCCATTTATTGAAAAAACAGTGCCGTGTTCCCGGTATGCGCGCGCTTATTCGCCTGATTACGTGATTTTTATCCGCAGTAAAGGATTTACCAGTGCAAAATTGAGGAATCACCTTTAGCGAAAGAAAATATTGATGCAAGGAAAACGTCCCGTGTAAAAATGTAGAAATTTTTGAAATGAAATTCTGGCTGGGAAAAGGAGAATACTCGCATATGACTCACGGAATAAATATGACACACGGGATTAAGAACATGTGAACCGAGCGTATGTATTTTAACCCGTGCTGAGTTGTCAGCATCGCGTATATTACCCGTTGGCTACTTAGAAACTGATGCTTGGGGTGAAGAGTTCTTGACAGAAAGAATTCGCCAGCAGTGAAGGAATCTGAGACCCGTTAGAAGCTCAACATGTGAAGAAGATCTCCTAATCCTCCAGAGTTGTGGAATTATTTCATACATAAAGAGAATTACGCATTTCCCCGTGGTATGAAACATGGTTTGAAATAGCTTCGTAACACTGGAATCGGTACCAAAGGCATCTGAAGCAATCAGGTTGCACCAACTCCAAATTAGTGATACGAACTTTCACTAGAGAGAACACAGGTAAAATGCTCTCGTGATGGTGTTGTTAGCCCACGGTATGAGAACTTACAAACAGGTAAGTACTTAGCATAACAAAAGATACCACCCGAAAACAATATGAAAGGCTCTCTCTTCATAGATTCTATATAACCTTTCAATGAATATTTAACGGACCCAAGAATAGGCCACTCTCACAACAAAAACTTTAGATGACAAGGCATAACAGTTCATGTATGAAATATGCTTGCTTGCTTGTCATCTCAAATTGTGGTAAAATTAGAAATTCCCATAACAAAGTTTCTTGCTCAAACACTAGTCTTGAGGGCTTTCCTGTAGCTGTACCGATGAAAAACTATTCCATATTTAAAACTTTATTGTAACCGAAAGCAGAAGGAAGCAAACTGATCATATTTTTATTTTTTTAGTTTGAAACATATTTCTATATTGCCTTAAAGGCTCTCAGATATATACTTTGCAACGCTAGTTAAATCCACGTTTAATGTTTTAATAATGTGTGGAGAATTTGGACATTCATCCATGAAAGATTGCTGACTTGTTGACTAGTCGTTGTTTTACGGAGGTTATTGACCCGACATGCTCAGGTTGTTGAATATCTTGTCTCATCCGTGGTTGCAATTCATTGGTTGCTGTGATATAAACAGGTCCACATCCTTCATTCTTAGTTCAAGGCTGACGATAAGTGATATCATAAATCACATTTTAAGTTAGCGGATATCTGACCCTGCAAACTGGTAAGTTCACTAGTGTATCTTAAAACGCCTCAGATGGTTGTGATGATTTTCACAAGATGATCTTTTTCCAAGAACATTTTTTCCTTGCCGTGATCTGAACATCGAGACAAAAGTTAAAAAGCATGTTACTATTTCCTCATGACACCAACTTCTTTCAGCCAGGAGTTTAAATGGATGGCATCAAACTTTCAAGGAAAATTGACAAAATACTGGAGAGAAATTATGTGGGATCGTCTTTTAACTGTTCATAGGGATAGGCGTAACCTCGAAACGCTCAAAACACGCTACTGAAACTAGATTTAACGCTGCTAAAATGTATGAGTCACACTCCGCTTAACTTAGGTGATCATTTACACTGTTTTAAAAGTTACGTACTTCACTTGCATCTGAATGGAAATTGAATGAAAGACACGTTCTTACACTCAGGGAACCATGAAAGTTGTCATAGTTGCATTGATACTGTGCTGTGCCGTCATCAATGGTAAGAACGAAGTGCAATTTTAACATTGTTCACTTTAAAAAACCTTCATGAAATACACTATCTTCGCTGTCTTCACTGCACCAAATCCGAAGAAAGTAGCTAACCATGAGCCGGTCATGGAGGCACCGGTTCAGATCCCAGGTCAACGATGAGCGTTTTCTTTCTAATTGGGTAGGGTTCTCTATATCTGGGATTCGAGTCCAAGGGGATCTTCATGATTATTTTTAAGACGTAGTTGAACTCATGGGAGTATTTTTGAGGATCAGCAATTCTTGCAATTCCTTTGATCGCACTATGTTTAAGAAACCAATAAACGTTTCTCTTCCTTTGCAAGATTTATGAAGTGGTCAATGGCTTGTTGTCGAAAAAGCAATAAAAAATAGAAACGGGATGTACAAATCCGTCTCCCTGTAGCAAGCTAGATTTGGTTGGTTTTCAGAGTCTTACTTTTTCAAGCACGGATGAATCGAGTATCGATAACTCTTACGATATATATTCAGCAATGCTCTAAAATGCTTCTTCTTGATATTACTTTATCCTTATAATCTGCTCAACCGTTTTAAGCGTATGGGCGCCCAATTGAACAACTGGACGAGAAACGCGTTTACAAACGAAATAATCCAGAGAAAGATTCAATACTGGTCATGAGAGGTAAATAAAAGATTGCTCTGCTCGTTCTTATGTTAATCGCAGCTCTCTTTAATAGTTTCATTAATTCAATAATACAGATAAATGTCTTTTTTTGGTTTGAAATTGTTTGTTAGTCTACCTATCTATTCCATTTCTTTTAAGCTTTGTTTGCTTGTTTACATGTTGAATTTTTGCGTATTTTGTTTTTAAATAAATTTCTGCTTCAATACTTTAGCATGGAGATTAAGTACTAATGAAGCATTGCTAGTCTTCAATTAATCCCCTAATCATGTTTCAAGCGCATGTAGGCATTCACTCCAATGAGGGAAGTGACGAAAGTTTAGTTAAAGAACCAGAGGAGGAAGAAGAAGAAGATGAGGAAGAGTCACCCAGCGGAGACGAAGGGTCCTCTAACGAGGAACATCAATCAGAAAACGATGAAACAATCGATGATGCTGCGGACTCAAACAATGATCATCACGAGAACGAACACGATGATGAAGACGATAATGATGATGACGACGACGACGACGATGAAGATGAAGATTGATTTGCTTTATTACGTCACAGCTTCCTTAGGTGAACGTAGGGAATGGATAGTTGGAACAGAATCATAGTTGGATCAAGTCATTGTTTTTGTAATCACGTTCAGAAAAAGGTGTAATTACAGGCTAATTAAACTTGAGCGTTGTATGTCGCAGTATGCTGTTCACACAGATAATCTAATTGTAGCTGGGAAACATAAAACACAAAAAAGAACCTAAGTTGCCCACACCAGCGAAGCTCAGTTTGATTCACCATTCCAACAAACGAAAGTGAATTATGCCACCCCTCCTTATTAAGATGGTCATAGTTTCACATGGAAGCAACTCTAACTTGCTTCAGGTACTTAGTCAGCGGACCAATAGGCGAACGATCATTTGTGATTGTTAGGGACGCAGCAACACTCACGGCATTTTTCCACTCGCTTTATTCGCTTGTCTCCGTTGCCTGACAGCATGGCAAACGGTCAGCTGATCAATTGATCATTTTCATTTTTCTACGACAGAATTCTAAATACCAAACGACGCATTAGCAGTCTGTGCTCCACAGTCCCCAAGAAAAAAAGAATGTCCACTTTTTAAATTCATTTTTGAAAAATGAGCCTTCAAAATCAATCCATGTGATCTAGGGTCTCCTTCTGAATTCTATAAAGCAAGGGCAAGAAAATTTATTTACAAATGAAACAACCAGAGGATATAAATGTTTGCATTTGTTACGCAACAAAGGAACAAACTTGATTGTAACACATTTACATAAGTACGAGTTTGTAGCTTGTGAGATAATAGTCAATCTATAAGTTAAGGTAATTTAGTATTATCAACTGAGTTGATAACATGGCCACCGTTAAGAGTTTCAAAGCTGAAGTTTCAAGCGTTAGCCCTTCTTTAGGGTGAATGGAGGAATTGTGGGTTGTGCGTATGTTGATATGTAGAAATGCAGCTAAGCCATTGTTGGGAATAAGGTGACAAGAATGCGAGAATGAATTAGTTGAATGAAAATCGCTTGTTGATATCGTGGGGATTAAGAGTGCTGAATTGAAAATAAATTTCCGTTCTGGGGTTTTGACAATCTTCTTTAAGTAAGAATGGTTTTAGCTGACTTCGCATTTCGCGGCATTTCCTGGGCTGAACATTGCTTGGTGTTCGAGACATATGGAACTCTTCATCCCCAGTGATACTTTGTCCAATTACATAGCACAACTACTGTACGTTGGCTTCACTATATCAGCGCTCATCCTTTTATTCAACATTTTTGATTATTAAATTGGTCATCACCTACGAACGAATAGAGGTAAGCTGAAGGATAAGATCCATAATACAGAAAAAAATTCATTGCGACTTTACTCACTTTCCGTTTTCTCTATGCCTTTTTGAATAAGCCGCTGAATAGAAGCAAAAACATGAGAGACATGCACTTCCCTGTTAAATGCACGCGGGTAAAAAAGTACTAGGCTGACTGTGTATGTGTTTACTTGCAGAACAACTCACTAGGAGAGCGGTCAATGAGAAAGGCTATCATTATTTAACAAATAGAGAAGCCTTGACTGTGCTCTGTTCTGTTATAAAGCACGCAGGAAGCGGCTAAAGCACGAAGGAAGTGTAGGGAGAAACACGAGACGTAGTCTCCCCACTTCTTGAGTGCTCTAGCCGCTTCCTAAGTGCTTTATAACGGAACAGAGCACAGTCAAGGCTTCTCTATTTGTTTTATAATAAAGAATCTGTTAAGTTCCCCAAGAATTACTTTCAATTTTCAAAACAAACTTTATTTCCAAAGCGAACAACAGTGTCGTCAGCATGCTCAATACTCTCGTAAAGCACGCTACGATCAGCCAATCAGAATCCCTGTTAGAATGGTTCAATTAATCTGATTGGCTGTACAACACAAAAGCTGTCAAAAGTGTCAAACCATCAAAGTTCAAAAACCATCAAAGTTCCCAATTTGCGATAGTTTACAAACTAAAATAGTTCGGCAGGTCGAATTTAACACTTTTGCCTGAAGTTTTTAAGTCTCTAATACAGAATCTTGAAGTGAAATAATCAGTAAACTTCAGCCGAATTATGGCTCATTAAAACACGCGAGTTCTTTCACATGACAAGGTAGAAAACAAATTGTTTCTTCAAGGTATCAAAAAGTGTCCCCGAAGATACGGGTCTCGATACTGCTAAAGTCCGATACCAGATCCTGGAAACAAAGACTAACAAGCTGGATTTAATGCAGGGAAGGTAAAGGATATATAAAAACACTTAAGAGCTGACAAGAATAAGCAATGTGCAAGTCATGAAAGTATGATACGTAGCACTTAGTAATGATTTGAGCCCGATTAGATTGCCTCTTAAAGTGACTACATTCAGACAAATGTAAGGAACAACTGCGAAATGGAAATTCCGCAATAAAGACTCCGAGGAAGTCGAAGACTCCGAGGAAAATAAAACAAAGAAAACAAGAATAAAGAAAATCTTAAAATAATCACTCTTCAAAGCTATAAGACGACCTATTCGGATAACAAAACGTGTGAGAAAGCCGCATTATTAGTAAAGGATGTGTGATACCTATCATTACATACTGGAATCATTTCTTTTTCTTTTTCCTCCAAGAATACGCATTTAGACTTTATTTTTAATGATTTAAAAGCTTTTTATTTCTCAACATATAAATCCTCGTTCCTAAATGGCAGTATGCGGCCTTTCCCTACGTCTAGGAAGTTCGGTACTGAGCAATTACAAGCCATCGATTTCCCGGTACAGATGTGTAAGTTCCTCACGAAATTATGCACAGTTTAAATGTTAAGAAGTAGATATTTAGGGTTACTTAGTCCAATAGATTCCACCGATCACTGTAAGGGAACACTGCGGTACTGGTATCGCAGAGGTCGTGGGTACAGGACTGATATTTTTTCAGGCCTTATTTTCACTACTACTCAAGTAGCGTTCATTATTGCGAAGATCACCTTCATATTCGCATAGTTGAAACTACTTCGTAAAAGCCTTTTCACTAGAGTTGGAGGATTCTGGTCCACTCCGAAGGAGATAATACGGCTGGGTTCAGAAGAAATGTATCTCAGGTCGTCACATATGCTTCATTTCCGACAGCAACAGGCACAATTTTCACACCCAGGTCCCCTGACACAAAATTTTAACTTTCCGTGCCTTAACAGACCTGGCCATGTAAAGTGGATGTATCGTTTGCGAATAAGAACAAAATCTGTGGAAAAATAAACATCGTTAACCCTGTGCACTTTTTATTTGCCACGATTTTCGATTCTTATAAGTCAAGGAAGCTCTTAGATAAAATGTTATTGTTTGGGTGAATCAGCCTACTGGAAGGTCCTCCAATTGTCCAATTTATGTCAAGGACACGATTTTCAATGTTGTCTCTTTTTTTTTGGGTGGTGCATACTCTGCCGTAAGTAGCAGTTTCTGAAACTCGAGAGAGACCAACAGATGACAATTAGTTCGTAAATTAGCGTGCATTCATCGAGAAATTAACTAATGGAAAGTCTGAACTGCATGAATCGAATAATGTTAAAGCCTTGCTTGAAGCGCAGCCTACGAGCTCCACTTTTAGTTCAAAATAACGAAAGACGAACAAAGTTAATTTGTTAGGTTTTAGTTTATTTTATCATTACCTCCGGCCAGAAATAGCCTGCAGCTGGTCCCTTTTTTGAAATACAGCACGGACTTGCTATCGGAATGAAAAAGCACTAACAAGCTACTGTATTGAAGACTCCAGTCCGGCGAGGAGCTACTTTGCAGTATTCCGTAAAAAGTGTCACCTCTATCACCATCTTGATCATCATAATTATGATCATCTAAAAAGATGTAGCTATTACACTTAGAATGTCAGCAGTATCTTTAAGAATCAAACTACTTTGATATAATAACAGCACTTACTCACCAATCATTTTAGAGGTTTCTAAGTAACAAAAGTGACTCTTTACTGTTCACTCGGGTGGCTCGAAATAGTTGCGTGACCTTCGACTAAATTTTGCTATATTCGCTTTCATTTCATGCGTAACAAATAAGCATTGAAAAGAGAATGTTCAATTTCAGAAAAAAGTACTTTATACTCTGTTGTACTAGCGATATATTTCTTGGCATAAATTTCGTTCTCTTGTTTTCTTTTTGTTTGAGGTTGATTTGGAAAAGGCACTTACAAAGTGCCACATTTTTCAACGAGGACCCCACTAGAACCCTTCCAACCGTCTGTGTACTGGGGAATCTATGTAAACAGGAACTTCTACCAAATCAATCGTCAATCCGGTGGTCGATGTTTGAACTCCTTGCCTTTTCATGATGCGTTTGCTATTAACAACCAAATTGTTCCAATCCCCGACCTAACGAGCGAGGAATTTTTTCCGCTTCTGAATACATTCCAAGCCATCCATAATGCAGTAATTAATCGTGACATCTGCTCTCCATAAAATTTATAATCTTCAGAGATATTTCAACAGATGCTATCTTGAGATTATTACAGAGAACAGGACTCGAAATGAGAAATTCATTTCAAAGTTCTTTGCTACATAATATCACAATTGCTTTTAGTAAACCATTTATTGAAGTTTTTGTTGATGCTGTGAGATTTCTTTTAAAATTTTGCGTCACTTGGACCGTAAAGCCTTGTGTTCTTAATCTAATCCCTTCGTGTAGTAATTTCTACCGATAGAACTGCAGTGAATGTTTGAGCACGGAAAAGCGGAGTTACAGGGTAATATAACTAAGATTTGTACTTTTACCTTTTACAAGCATATCTGAAAAACAGGAACAGGAAGTTAATATTTTCTAAGCCAAGCCACTTCATTAACGGATATGACGCATTAGTCATTTGTTGGTTAAGTACCTAGTCAGTCAAGGTCAGCGATTTTTCCTTGTCTAAGATTGATAAACAAAACCTTAATTATGCAAATAGCAGCCGACCAGTGGTATAAAAGAAATGTTCACAAAGCAAAAACGAAAAGTTACTTTAAACGTGCAGTCGATGCAGTAAAAGTTAAGAGAAAAGAGTCTAACACAAAAAGACAGTGCATCCTTTAATTATTATAATAAGTTGATCCTGAGCGTACTGATCGCAAAATTTTGAATTGGGAGTCGAAGGATTGCTTAAGGTAAGGATTTAAAGATGACTTTTAAAGCACTATTTTACTTCCAGAGCAATCCTGTTTATACCTAAGTTGAGCTATCAACGTACTTTTTGATACTCTTTGGCCCTCAACAATCGGTATTTCACGATTTAATGTTGTGAAAAGCACTCAAACGGCTGAGATTATCGCCAATCCTTATCCCCTTTAAATTACGATTAAAATCAAAGCGTTATCTTGAAAAACGTCTTGATTTTCCTTCCTTTGGTATTGACAAGTTATGACGCTTGAATTAACAAATAGAGAAGCCTTGACTATGCTCTGTTCTGTTGTAAAGCACGCGGGAAGCGGCTAGAGCACGAAAGAAGTGTTGGGAGAAACACGAGGCGTAGTCCCCACTTCTTGTTTGTTTTATAATTTTGTTTTATAATAAAGAATCCGTTAAATTTCCCAAGCAAACTCCCAAGCATTAAAATATATTAAAGTTCACAGGGCAACCAGGTGGATAATCAGACATAGTTTGATGCTACTCTGGTTTGCAGATTTAATGAATGTAACCGAAGAAGTTACAATTCATAGACCCAACGTTTCGACACTCCTGTCTAGTGCCTTCATCAGGGGTGATCTAAACGCTGCAACAAGAGGTCCTTTATATGATCACTAATTAGCGGCCTTTTTTCTGACGAGGTGTAAATAGGCGCCAGGAAGCAAACCGCCATCGTCACGATTTAAAGGAGCGTGGGCGGAGTTAATATGCCAAGCCTCCAAACAAAGGCGCTGGTGGCAACGCCGATAAGTGGTGATAGTTTTATCCCACCCAATTGTATGGTTAGTTAAGCATGTATGCTCCGATAAAGCTGAATTTTCCTTTTTGCAAAGGAAAACCGCTTTTTGGTGCTCTTTTAACCGTGTACCAAACTGACGTTTGGTCTGTCCGATGTATTCGTTGTCACAGTCATTGCAAGGAATAGAATAAATGGCGTCGGTTCATTGTTCTTTCGTGACAGGATCCTTAGGTTTGGCGAAAATACGCCCCAAAGTCTGAAAAGGTTTTTGCGCAACTTCAACGTTGTGGCTATTCAAAATTCTCTTGATGGGTTCCGTAACACCCTGTATGTAAGGAATAACAGCAAAACCAGAGCGTTACTATTTGTAACTGGTTTTTGGCAGCTACGGAGAAAAGTTTTTGTATAGCCATTTGCCTTTAGGACATTGGAAACATATTTCCTCTCCTCAGCCTTCGAATCGAGTGAAGATGGTAGACAGTCAGCCCTCCTAAGTAAAGTTTTGGCTACAGAATTTTTATGGCAAATAGGGTGGTGAGAATCGAAGGCGAGGTATTTGTCAGTGTGGGTAGGTTTACGGTAGACACTTGTCTCTAAATTACCCTGAACCCCTCTGGACACATCAATTTAAGCAAGCATTACTTTCAATTTTCAAAACAAACTTTATTTCCAAATCGAACAACAACGTCGTCAACATGCTCTATACTCTCATAAAGCACGCTACAACAAGCCAATCAGAATCCCTGTTAGAATAGTTCAAATAATCTGATTGGCTGTACTAGACTAAAGCTGTCAAACATGTCAAACCATCAAAGTTTACATTCTACAATAGTTTAAAAACTTGAACAGTTCGGCAGGTCGAATTTAACACTTCTGCCTGAATTTTTTTAGACTCTAACACAGAGTCTGAAAGTGAAATGTTAAGAGAAACTCGGCAGAATTGTACGTGGCTCATAAAAACACACAAGTTTTTTCACATGACAAGTAGAAAACAAACAATTCAAGGAGGGCGTTTTATGAAGGAACGACAGCCGAATTCACCGGAACATAAAGATCGCTCGGGATGACAGCGCCGTGACACTCGGCTGCACTGACTGATGTGGCCTTCCACTCAACTCATCGGAAAGGATATCAGAGCAAGCTCTTATTTTTTCACTCGAAGGGCGGCTGATATACTTCCTTAGGTTTGCTTTACTGCAATGACCAAAGATCGCCATGTGAGCTAGCTGCGATGGACCTCAGGGTGATTGAAGTCGCTCTGACATCGGCATGATTAGTGTGAATTTTAACAGTTATGCCAGTTTGGTTATAATTTTCCTCATTCTTGTTTTGTTCTGTTTTGTTTTTGATCACGAAACTTTACTTACCATACGAGTGTTAGCTGTGTTTGATTTTTATTACTGTACATAAGCTTTCCATCTAACTAAGCATGAAAACCTTTAAAACTCGGACTGTCCATTTCGTTTTCTTCTTGAGGATTTTCGTCTCTGCTCACGTTATAATAACGTTAATAATATACATGGAAAAATTACTCAGTTCTGATTGGTTAAGATAAATGCAGTTTTCAGGTAATTGAGTGCAGAAGAGAGTTAATTGAGTGCAGAAGAGGGTTAATTCAGTGCAAAGAAAGAAACAAATCAGACATTCTGATTGGTCAATAATCAAAGAAACTCACAGATAGCAAATAAAACGCAAGCCTTGGATTCCTTGAACTTTTTTGCACCTTAAAGATGTGAAGATATCATTGCATAATTTATTATTGTTTTGATCGTACGCGGTTGTTTTGACCGAACTCGCGGTTTGAATAAATTATTTTTGCACTTGATGCGCGCTTTGCTTATGTTTAATTATGATACGCCATCTCGTATTTTTCCATGAATATTATTAACAAGTAATCACATGATTTTTCTCGTGCAATTTGGAATAAACAAACACTTGTTAATTTTTTCAAAGACCACAAATTGCACTCGCCCTACGGGCTCGTGCAATTTTGTTAGTCTTTAAAAAAATTTACTCGTTTTTATTTATTCCAAATTGCACTCGAAATGGTTCCTCCGTTGCTACTCGCCGGCTCGAACGAAAAAAAGTCAGAGAGAGTTCCCGGAAAAGGTCAAACATAGTACAATTTGGCTGATGGCGTGACAGCTTTAGCTCAGCTCTACGCTCTGTACTCTCATAGAGCACGCTCTTTCAACCAATGACAGCACGCGTTATATCCGAACTTTATTATAATTAACAAATAGAGAAGCCTCGACTGTGCTCTGTTTTGTTATAAAGCACGCAGGAAGCGGCTAGAGCACGAAAGAAGTGTAGGGAGAAACACTCGACGTAGTCACTTCTTTCGTGCTCGGAAACAAATTTCAACGACGTAACTACCCCGACAGCAAAATCGTCATTTTTTGAAGAAAGAGTCACGAGAGTGGAAATAACAGCGAGAGATAATCACGTGGTATATTAATTTAATAAAAAGCGACTTTGCATAGCCAAAATTAAATAATTCAACTGTACATTTAATGGAAAAAACAATAATAATAACAATTTTCGGTTAAAATACTCTGACTCGTCCTGAGGTTTGGGGAAACTTTAAAATCTTGCAATTTTCAGGCTCTAGGGTGCAGAGGAAACTTTACGCAGAGGAAGAACTGTTTAAGCCTTTCCAGACAATTCAGCACTAACGCCTTTGAGATAAAACAACCAAATCATGGCGGGTGAAGAACGTGGGAGTGAAGAAGATATATTTACTCGTATGAGTACCTTCGTCAATAAAAAAGTTACAAAGGCCACAAGAGGGTAAGACGAGCATGGTAGGCAAATAACATTCTCTGCAAGCCCTCATGATCCAGATCAAAGTAGGATGTAGCTTTGCCACAAAAGAATAGACTTGACACTTGACAACGCAGGCTGTTTATAGTATAACGATTACTTTTTGTGAACTCTCACAAACTGATAAGATGATACCAACGTTAATCAAGGCATATTATATCCCATTAGTGCTCAAGAATTTATGAACCGTCATTTTCATGTACGAGAGGAAATAATTCCATCGGAAGAAGGTTAGTGTTTTCGTTTTTTGTTTGGTTTTTTTTATTTTAAGCTTGGTGCACGCATCGATCGTATTCCTCGTTTGTAGTTGATAGATATTTAACCCATTGACTCCTAGAAGTGATTAACAAGTAACTTTATAAAATAATTCAAATAGTACGCGCGCTCTGATTGGCCATAAAACCATTTTACATGAGCGTATGTAAACACGGTTTATCATCCTGAATCTTCTCGCGGAGTTCTCCCTGCTATTTATTTAGCAGTAACTCAGTTTCTTTAAGTTTGTTTTGAGTACAGTCATGGAAGAAGAAGATTTTCCTAATTTTTCTTTGGAGGTTAATTTTTCCAGTATTCAAGAAATGGCCGAAAAGCCAAATGAACAACAACAACAAGCACGTCGCTTTCCTTCGTTGCAAGAAGAGGCTCTTTCATTAGTTATTTTATAATAAAATAACTCGATAAGCTGGAAACCACTCCGCTTGGTGTCGTGGTTTCCTACGCTTATCTCGTGTTCTCCCAACCTCCCGCGTGTTTACATCAGGCTATGTAAACACGGAAACCATTTTACATTTCTTCATCTTCATACAATATCCATCCACCATCTAGCAAACAGGTAATGGGAATACTCTTATCTTGATCTAACGCAAAATTCTCGTAACTTATTTACAAGAACATGTCTTGCAACTGGAGGGGAGAATTAATAACCAGATCTTTGGAGTTAAAGGGTTAACTGAAAGTTAGTAACGAGAATTTGGTTACAAAGCAATGATACTCTTTACTAAAAATTTGCGTTTTACTTTATGGTATTTGATTTTGTAACGTAAAGTACATAGGTCATATCTGAATCCAATCGGTTCAAAACTTAACTTTCAAAATTAGGTCAAATACAAAACCTTTATGTAGAGGGTGCGTTTCAAGTGAGTAAAGAAATAATACCTAAATTCAAAGGCTTTACACCTATACTCGTATTGAAAATCAGGTTTTTAGCGGTTTCTTTCTTAAAGAGCTAAGAGAACACATGAAAACTGATTCCTTCCCGCCATTATCCTAGTTTTCAAGGTTTAACAAAAAGCAAAAAGCAAACGTACAATAATAAACTGTTTGTGGGATCTTCAAATTGTTTTTCACGTTTGTAAACGTGATCCCAACCTTAAATCAAAACCGATTTTCGCATAATACACTGCGGCCTACAGCACAAAATTATAATTACAAATATTTCGCCAAAGACCTACATTAAGCGAATCGGAGCTCGAAAGTACCAAATATGATGATTTAAAATGAAATTATTACTCAGACTACCAAGAATCTTCCATCCCATGCCATCCCCGCTCGAATGAAAAAAGGCCAATGTCAAAATATATTTTTCTTGTTCATAGTAGGTTTGAGTCATACAATAAATCCGCCTAATTATGACTCGGAAAAAGACGAGGAAGACGGTCCTGAAAAAGAGATAAGTGAAGGTATTAAAATTTTCTTTAAAAGTTGCTTCTTAGATGTATGTTTTCCAAGAAAACTGAGTATTGGTGTCGAATGTTACAACGCCAATTCGTAAGTTTGACGATTCCTGTCTATAAAAATCAAGAGCCCATACAGGTGCAAATAGATGAAAATAATCGCTCAGGTCCAACAACGTTTCTTTGACAATCGTAAGGCAAAAAGAGCAGAGAAGGTGTCCTTAGAAAGAAATGTGTGAGCTTGCAGCGATCCTAGTTTTCAAAAACTTTAGATCAATGTCACTGAGGAACTGCGCTTAGATTTTGTTTGACTGCCATTTTTTAAAGTATCATAAGATGCTCCTTTGTGGGTGTCAATCTTGGGAGAAAATGGTGAAGCACTAACATGTTCAGCTCAATGGTCAGTACACCCTCTCACCTATCTTTTGAGGAACACTCTAGTTTAGGTAGTCTGTTGGTAAGGATTCTCTAGGTAAAAGAGGACGACAGTAAATCCTTTGGGATGCAAACAGAATCCATCCTCCAAACGTTACCAGACCATCCGATGTCATCTGTCCGATCAATATTTCACGAAAATAGTCGAAAATGTGTATATTTACGATAACATCACGACTGGGAAGATATTTATCAACATAAATAAGCAGAAAAAGGATTTCAGTCTAAAACTTTAGAGGATTTGAACCACTAAGCACAAAAGTGGTAAGTATTGTCGAGAAAGAGAATTTCTCCTAAACGACTTAGCATGTCATTTCATTCATCCACAGAAGAGACAAAAATTAGAGACATCTTTTATGAGACTGCGGACAAGATAACGGAAACCATCACCGTCGACAACCTTTTTCAGTGTCGAAATCCCTTCACAAAAGCTTTTGAGGTAAGTGACTTTCATAACACCTTTAGCCAAAAAAAAAATGGTTTTTCTTTTTCAATAAAAGTTGAAAAAATGTTAATTTTTTAATACAATAGGTTTCTGCAAAGCTACGGGAACTAGCCAAAACGCGCAATGAAAATGTGGTTCTTCTCAACAATTTGGCAGAAAAGGTCGAGGACTTCTCTGTTACACTCATGGACCAAGTAAACACTGAAGAGGAAATAAAAATCGATGTTCAAGAAAAAGAAAATATGGATACCTACGCATGTCTACTTGACAGTATAACAGAGTCCGCAATACGCCACGAACAGAAGAAGGTTAGGGAAACCGTTTCATTCTCGTGTTGATCTTATTGTTGTCAGTGTTGCTTTCATCGTTGTTGTTATTGTTGTTGAGTATATGTGAACAATATGAAATGTCCGTTTAATGATTTAGAAATTAGATAGATAACGTTAGGGCTGTGGTTCAGGTTCAAGATCTAGATTGCCATAGACAAAAGCAACCTTGCACATAAAGAAATCAAGAGATACTGAATGAAGAACAACTAAGTTGCGACGCGATTTTGCAATCGCCCTTTCAAAATGGCAGCTATTCTTCTTCTAACTGAAAACTTTTCATGCTCTAATTTTTTATAAATTGCAATGTTACGCAGTTTGTCTCGCATCCACTGACATACAGACTGGTGAACCAGAGATGGAACTATGGTTTGCCGTCGCACTACCTTGCGGGATGGAAGCTTGTTTTGCTGTACATATTCACCATAATCGAGACGACTTTAACTCCTCTTTTGTGTCCATTCATCGCATATGTGTTCTACATGGACCAGATATCCAACAGTAAGCGTACAGAGGAGGAAAAAGAAAAAGGAAAAACCGAAAAGCCCCTTCGAGGTCTGTATGTTCTCTACACAGTAGTAAGCAAAGAAGAAAGTCACTCAAGAGTTTTAATGATATTGATAGTGGGAATGAATTTAAGCGTACTCTTGCCCCTTTGAGAAATGCGAAAAAAAAAAGCATAGAAATCAGCTTTTTATTCATTTGTTTGAAAGTGGAGAATGAGGTAAAGAAACTATTGCAATTATTCTAAAGGAACAAATGCATAAATTCAACAATTCTTCAGTGGTACAGACGCCCGACTGAACTTAAATTATGCTGCTACTTGTATGTGTCCCTGGCCGATCTTATAGTGACTAGGAATCGATGGTTTGGGAAAGGCGTTATGAAGTATTTGCGATTATTCTCAAGGAACAAATGCAGAAATTCAACAACTCTTCAGTGGTACAGACGCCTGACTAAACTTAGATTAAGCTGCTACTCATATATGTCCCTGGCCGTCCTTTTAATGACTAGGAATCGATGGCTTTGGAAAGGCTTTCTGAAAAATTTCATAGAGTGAGAAAATCTTTCCAATTATTCTTCTTTCTTGCAGATAAATACTTGAGCTACTTGACGACACCTTTCGTGATCTTTTTGAAGGACAAACTCAGTCAATTTGTCTTCATAGTGCTGCACTTAAGAATTTCCGTCCTACCATCTTCTGTTTCCGCGAAGACAGAGGAATACCTAATCCTGATATTTTATGTTGGTTCTTTGCTGACTGAGGTCCAACAGTACAGAACATCTCAGTCTCGAGTTTATCTGCGGTAACAAAAGTTCCCTATTTTATCATTTTATTACCTTTTTTTAAAATCTATTCTTTTCCCTACTTTCCTTTTATTTAATTTTTGGGTTCTTTCTTGACTGTGTCTTGCTAACTCAAGGCAAACCTCGTCTCGTCCTCCTGTAGATCTTCTTTAGTAATTATCATTCTCGCCGCATTCATAACCTTTAGCAAATCACTTGAATATCAACTTCAATGCAGATAAAGTAAATTACTTTAATTCTTTTGCAAAGTTCGTAAAAATAGCATTAATTTTGTTTAAAATTTTCAAATTGGTAATCAAACATAATCCGACATTCAATTAAGCTCCCATAGAAGATTTGGGTTTATTGAAAATGTTCTTTGAAGGAGAAGGCAGATCTACCATATCAATTCAGAGACACATAACTTAGAAAAACTTCAAAATAGTAAATCTACCAAGGTTATCTACTGGTTTAACTTTTTGATAGAAAATTTGATAAGAACGTGGTAGCACATTTTCCTGTATTCATCTGGCATGTTTATCTACTGATATTACGCTAAATACCCTTTCATTTATCTATCCATAATTCTTCTCTTTTCCTGTGGTAAGATGACTGCAGATATGTTTATATTTGACGGAAACAAAACGTGACCTCCAAATATTTTCTTCTTTCCAGGAACATGTGGAATTACGTTGATGTAATGACCCTCTCACTACATGCATTGATATTGGTTCTTCGTATCATTACGATCTGCCTCAGAGGAGATCCTTACCATAACCGATTGCTGGAAGTGGTCAACCACTTTTATGGCATCACCACTCTGCTCCTTGTACTGAGGTTCTCAAGTATTCTGGAAGTAAACAAAACAGTCGGACCTCTTCAACTGGCTCTGTTTCGAATGTGCATCGACTTAGCAATTATTTTGATTCAATTCTTTTTTGTTATTGTGGCATTTTCTGTGGCTATCACCATGATCTACACTGCAGAGATTTCCTACTTGATTCCCACAGGACAAAAGAAGATCAACGGGACTCATTTTGACGGGTCAGTGAACTCTTCTGCTTCGTTCGTTGACAAAGATTTGTTCGTTAGTCGGGTTGTTTTTTGGATCGTTTACAACAAATCACTAGCTCTGCCAATTTTCAAATCCTAACCAAAGACGAAAGAACATTTTGTCTCTTTTCAAGTTATTCCTCACCAGTTAAATTAATTTTTCTCAGTTGTAATTTCCTGGTTTTCTCTCTATGACAGCTTTTGCGCAGAAGGACGAACAGCTTGGTAAGTTATGGTCCTTAGAAATCAACATGTGCAAGTTCAAAGTCGAAGCTTTTTTTAAAATTGATTTCCTGCCATTGAGAATAATCAGAATTCAAAGATGCAACAGGCTTTCATTGCATCAAGTACAAGCTTCAACGGGAGCATGAAAATACCACTTCCCACATTAACGTACATCACAAATATTGTGATGTACGTCGTGGACTTTCGGATTTTGGTCAACTTAGTATTTTATGAAGAACTCCCATATAAGCAAAAGCTGAAGTGGCATGCTGTTTGGATAATTAAGAAAAAACGTGGCCTAGAAAACCAACTGCTCTATTTTCATTTTTCAGCTTATTCAAAGCATCCACACATCTTGTATGGTCTGTCTTCGGTCTCACTAATCTCGAGACCATGAAATCTCACGGAGAGTTGTCCTCAGCCGTAGTTGGTGTTCTGTACGTGTTGTTCTTGATTCTGTCAGTTATTATGCTAATCAACATGCTTGTTGCATTGCTCACAAACACCTATCAGAAGGTCGAGGTAATGTAATTGCTTTTTTGTTTTATGATCAAGTTTTGAGTTTCTATACTACTGTCTCATTGGTTGTGTAATTTCAGTGTCCAGTCTCGTCATCGAGCAACATAAAGCGAAGTCATCTCAAGAAAAACAAATGTTATTTTGGAGTAATCATAAGTAATTATAATTGTGTTCAAACCATGTTCAAATCATTATTCTAATCGTCTTGCTTTTAACTTTTAATTCGAATGCTCTGATATCTTTCTCCTACAATCGAATGAGATTTTAAAACGTTGAATGCGTATCGCTTTCTCTTCAGACGAATGCAGACGTGGAGTGGAAGTTTTCACGTGCAGTAGTAGCCGATGAGTACAGAAGATTTCATCCCATTGTAGCTCCATTCAATATCATTTCTTTTCCCGCTTGCCAATGCTACATCTGGAAAAGTGGTGACCGCCGAGAAAGGGTATGAACGAATACAAAGCCAAATCTCTTTCTCACCTTTTTAGTAAGCGAAGACAAAGGGTGTTTATAGAAAGCATTAAGATGGAATAAGTCAAGGCATAGACTCCTGTGGGGAGTGGGGTGGAGGCCAGTTGACCAATCTTCAAACTGAGATTACATGAACTTCGCCCGTTTGTAAAGAATAGTCTTTTTCATAAGCCAGTGCTAGCGCGATCAACTTACTTGTCAACAACATAAATTGGCGTTTGCGCTATCGTCTGAGTTCTAAACGTTTTCGCAGGCTTGCCGATTTTCTTTATGGATCACCAAATCAAAATACGAAACAACTGCAATTTAAACAGTATTAACTTAAATATTACTCTCTAAAATGCAAATGATCAAGATGGGTCTTAGGCGCACTGTCTTCGCAAAATAGGAGTTTAGAAATTCGTTTAAACTATGACAAGATGGTTCGCCTGAGTACCAATTTTGCTCCCCTTCCTTGCTGTTTTTCCTTGCTTTTAGAAGGTAAACATAACCACATATCTTCTCTCTTTCTTAATATAATTATAGTGCATCGTTATCACCTGTCTTCCATACATGTTTGTACAAGTTCAATATAAAGACCTTAATACGTTGTGGATTCCTGTCGATAACTGCTTTATGGCGAAACTTTGCGGGGAAGCTTATCGGAGATTTCTGTCCAGAACATGAATTAAACTTTGTGGTTTTATCTCTGACTTCAGACGGCTGAAGAGCGACGCAGAAAGTATATCAAGTTTTATGATGAAGAACTTTTCCCTGTTATTAAGAAGCGCTATAAGGATAAACACGGCCTTTTATTTCCATTGTCAAGTAAGTAGAGGACTGAGGAAAGAGCAATCCTTTCCTGAAAATATATATGACTGCTTTTAGGCCACACCATGAGTTTGCATTTTCATACCTATTTCTCCTCCTTTTTTCTTGGCTGTTTAAAATAAAACGTTATAGTATTTGCCCAGTCAGGCCTTTTTGGGGAGATTTAAGCATTCTGATTGGTCCTCTACCTCAAGGCAAACCGTGGATTGAAACCGTGCTCCCCAACAAGTTCGGTTTTGATTGATAAGAGGTTTAGACCACGACTAATATTCTAATGTTCACCTGGATTTCAACGAATGGATGTTTAACTCTCTTAACTGTATCATTTCAAGAGTATGGGCATCATCATAGTTATGCCAAACTTATTATTCTTTTGTTTCAACATTCTCGCACCTGTCAGACAGTATCAAATGAATAAGAAAACCACAGAAAACTGCATATAGGACGTTGTTTTAAAGAGTCGAGTTAAAGATAATTGGTTAAAACGTTTCTAAACATCAATATTGATTTTATGAAAAAGCGATGTTAATCGTGCGGTGGCACACGACCGCAATTTTCCCATCTTATTAAAGACTTTTCATTTGTTGATTTATGCTTTATACAATTCTATGAAAATATACAACTGCCTAAATTCCATCTACCATAGCTCCTTAATCTCTTCCCTTTCTTTCGAGGTGTGTCCATATCTACATGCTTCTTTTACCTCCCTCTTCCGTCCAGGTATAATACTAGAATCCATTCTATTTGCAGCTGAAGAGAAAATTGACAAGCTTCAAAACGACTTGCAGAAAATGGTGGAACATTTACAGACCTTTATGGAGGTGAAGGACCAACATAAAAGTCAGGTTAGAAGTAATCTATGCTTTGATTTGCAAACATTTCAAAAAAATTCCGTTTTTCATTGTGTTGTTATATTTACTTTTTATTTTGTTGTTGTTGTTTTCTTTTTATGTTGCTCTCCTCTCTATCTAGCGTTTTCTCTGTTCCTGTGTCTATCGCTCTCCTTCGTCAGAGCGATGGAGGACTGAGCTAACGCTCGAAACGTCAGCCTTTAAATTCTTTAAGGTGGCCAATTTACATTATCAACTCAGTTGATAACACTAAATTACTCTGTCATTCTCTACCACCGACGTAGCACTACGGTTTCTTTGGAAACTTACCCCTTTATTCACTTGCTTGTTTTAGTTCGGCTATGTTGATTTTTTTGTTTGCTTTTCTTTTGGTTTTCGGCTTTAATTACATTATTTATATCTTTTTCGTTGTTAATTGTTTGTAATTATTAGTTTTTCGTCTAGTAAACTCTCTGGAAAAATAGGAACAAATTTTCTAACTGTGTCTTTTCATGGTTTCTTTTTAAAATAAACTTTGTTAACAGACCCCATGTCAAGTCCAACAATCAGATGTTTCCCAACGAGAGTGCTACCAATCCGAAGTTTGACAGGAAAGCGACGACAATTACGGAAAGGCACCTGAGATTTAAGAGTGATTTTGCTGAATAGGAGGAGGATTCTTATTGCAAACTTTTAGTTTGACCAGTTTTATAGGCTATAGTGATCATCGAGTCAGATGAAAGGGAAGGTTTACTCATCTTTTTTTAATAAAATTTTCTTGATATGAAAACAATTATTACGAATGTGATTTCTTATCTTAAATAAACAAATATCATTGTAATGCTAAAAACTCAGTGATACAAGTATAAAGAGACACTTTTTGAATATATCTCATTTGCGGATGTAACCATGGGGAAGGGGGAAGATAAAACTTTCTTCGGATACAATTCGATGCTACAGAAACCTTCGCAGGTTTCTAAGTCGAAAGCTTTTGTCAATTAGAGTACACATACACCACACGTGTGCTCTAAAACTTTGAAATTTAGTGGCCGCTCCTAGATATTTTTTTAATTAGCGCACCCAACAGTTTCAAAACATTTGTTGTTTTATAACTATGGCCACAGGAATTTCTACACGATACATCGACACGGTAGAATCTCGAGCCTGAAAACAAAACAAAATGGATTCCTGAAAACAAAACAAAATGGATTCCCTTTCGTGTTTGATAATATGACGACGAGTCACTAAAATTTTTACTATGAGAATTTTGGGCGTTTGCAACACACTCGCCTGCTGCCTGATTTTCATACCGACTAAGCAAAACGGGTCTGGTGGTTAATTCCGTCGTACGAGTAGAGAGTTTGCTCGCTGTCATAGATCGATTTTGATAACGGAACGAGCAATTGATTTTACTTTTTTTTAACAACTATTCACCGAAGTATCGGAGGCTAGTGGTCGATATTTACCGAGTTACGAAGCGGCGTGGTAAATATCCACCACTAGCCACCGACACCTAGGCGAATATGCTGAAACAGTGAGATAATATAGCACAAACTTGAATTATTTTAACTCATTTATTCCGGCAACGATCACAATTTTTCCGGATATAAATCTAGCGCGATTTACTCGGAGGCGAATAGCAAAGGATATTAAGAGTCAGAATAGCCAATAAGAGCGCTTCCAACGCTATTCGCTGTTTTAGTATTTCATAAATAATGATACACAGCTACATGGAATCTTATTTGCGTAATGAACCGATCAATGTAGTGACAAAGTGACAGAAGAACCCCCTTCCCTTGTGATGTGATTATCTACAGATAAGGGTCATAGACCCATTCATCCATTCATTTGCATAGCTCGAACATGAAAACTTCGTGCAGCATCGCTTTGTACACGTATTCACACGAGCAATTTTTACACTTCTTCCAAAATCCCCCAAATAGGATTACGAAAGATGTAATTTGTGCCTTGTTATGTCGTTAGGTTTCGTTTTCGTTTAAATTTATTTAGTTATTTTTTCTTCTAAAATCTTGTTATGTTCACACCAGGTTTTACTTAGAGCCGTACTCGCATACTTCCCTAAGTAACTGTTATCTACTTGTGTATCTCATGTTATTCATAGGATACCCTAAGACCCAGAGGGTGGCACCATTGCCTTAGTTAGGGGTACGCGTTCCTCATTTTTTTCCACCTGCTGGTTTTTAGGGTTTTCGTGTTCGGCTTGGTTTATTTAGTTTTTTTCCATCGTAATTATAATAAACTCTTGTAAATATATTGGTGTTAAATTAACTATACGGTGGCTTGGCTGGCAAACGCGCCCAGATATCAACACCTCGAATGCCCGGTTGACTAAGGGAAGCAAAATGTTAAATATTTCACAGCTGAGTGCTACGTGTTATAAAATTAGTCATATGGGACAAAACTAGATATGCAGCTAATTATAGATGGTTTGTTCTTTTGTTCAGTTCGGTAAATTAGACGTTATGCATGCTTGCATCCTACTGATGTATTTGTCGACCGATTTCGCCATGATCACGTTAAGTTATCTGTAAGAGATAGTCAACTTTCATTGATCCAGCACGCTTACAACCGCGAGATGACTGAACTGATTTGTCAAACAGTGATAAACGAAGAAGATGGAGGTGCAGGTGACCCCCTCAGGATGACGACAAAGCTGAAAGAAGGTAAAGCTGTTCGCGCTTGTACAGAATGGTGGTTTTATCGAAAATGTGTCCTTGTCTGTCTCAACTAATGTTGCAGATGCTTTTCTTCTAATTATTATTTTCGTGGGGCTGTGAGTTTGTAGGTTTGTTTGTCTATTTTGCATGATTTCTTGTTTTTTTTTTTGGTGACTAAAGCTCTAAAACTCCGTAATTCCGGCACTCAGGCCATTCATCACCATATCATCGAGACAGCCCGGTTGCCGAATTCAAGCCACGATATGAGTGGTATTTGATTCATTGCGGCAAAATTACTAGCTGCTTACTTATATCCCCCCAGGCTGTAATTAGTGACACCCGTTTTAAAATACCGTCTTGTGAATGAAAGAAAGCCAGTAAAGCTGATTTACCCGGCAGGATAGTATCATGGAAACGAAGAAATGCACATAAGGGGGTTAGGAAATGTTGAGAAGCTGAGCGAGTGTTATGCCTTTAAAGAAGCAAAGCAAATTTTTTTCATTCATTCTAGTGATATCTAACCAACACCGTTCTAGTAATGTATTGACACGTAAGCACGTTAAGCCAACAATGATCCTCTTTGTTCCGAAGAATATCAAACGTTTTAAACTCCAACTTCCCAAACTTCCGATACAGCGATTTATTTGCCTTTATCAGCATGTAGTTGACAGTCAATCATTACCCGCCAACGTACTGTAAAAGCCGTCTACTATTTGTTAGCAATGCAAGGTAAACGCATGCATGTCTGCTAAGGCAAACATGCGTGCACACTTGGAAGTTTTTAAGTACTTTAAGTTATAATTAAGTTAATCTGATGTAATCATACATCTTAAAAAAACAGACCCTTACAAATTTAAACCGGACCAATAAGTTTCTGATTTTTCTTTCAAATACCAAAATCCGAGAGAATGATAGACCCGACAGACTGATGCTTGGCGGTCAAACTTGAAAGTCCCTTTTTCGGTGAAAGCATGCAATAATGCTTTTTTTCAACGCCGTGCATGACTGAATCCCCATCACAGTTTCCTCTTACTTCGTAAAAAAAATTTACCCTGATAAAAAAATAATAATAAAAAACTGAAAACCTATCATTTCATTTTCGGTTGGTGGTGTTGTAGTTCTTAGACTGAGGTAATTTAGAATAAAAGGAGTTTCAGTTAAATGAGGTCATATTTCCATCCATCTATTCCAGTCACCTGAATCTCCTAGACCCAATTCGACTAATAGGACTTAATTTAGAGCTTTGGTTTTATATGAAATTTTCATGAATTTATACAGGCGATGTTATGTCTTCTAGCTTTGGTTAATTCTTACAAGCAAATTTCATGTCTCCCTGACGTACAGGTGAAGTAAAAATCGAACGCCTCCTTGAACAATTTCCAGAGGATACGGTGGAAGAGATTAAAGATGTCATTACAGCTGAAAACTTATGCTCCTGTCAAAATCCCTGGAAAACATCCTTTCAGGTAAGTCAATCCAATAAGGGAATAGTAAGTACGAGGCCAATAGCGAAAAACAAAAACACGTAGGGTCAAAGAGGCTATCCATATAAGACTTCATCCCAACAACATCGATAGAGATAGCGGAATCGACGATTCCGAAGCTTGGATACCCACGATCAAACAACACAACAGCCGATTTATGAGGACCTATGAGGCGATACCATCTAACAACCGGAATAATACTAAGAAATCGAAACTAATCGAAATGCACCAATAACAGTATATCAACGTGCTACAAATAGTGACAAGTAAACAATAGACCTCATCGCCTGATGAAGACAAGCAGTATTTCAGTCGAAACGTCGCGATCTACATCAAAAGTGACTCTATCGTGAGACAAACGAACAAAGTTCGTCTCCTATCTTACACCACGATGAACAACAAGCACATATATTATTAAAAGGTTTAACTGAAGTTGACTCAATGTCATTTAGTGATAGTTAAACCAAACGACTTCGAGGAACCTTGTTTTATTTATCCGCAGGTATTTATATATATATATATATATAATTATATATACATATATACACATATAATATACATATATTATAGCCTATGCTGGGAGCAGAATGTTAAGGTCGTTTCAGTGGATATTCGGCGACTTATTTAACAAATAGAGAAGCCTTGTCTCTGCCCTGTTCTGTTGTAAAGCACGCAAGAAGCGTTTAGAGCACGAAAGAAGTGTGGGGAGAAACACTCGACCACGTCTCGTGTTTCTCCCCACTTCTTGAGTGCTTTAGCCGCTTCCTAAGTGCTTTACAATAGAACAGAGCACAGTCAAGGTTTCTCTGTTTGTTTTATAGTAAAGAATCTGTTAAATTCTCCACGCATTACTTTCAATTTTTCAAACAAACTTTATTCTAAAGTGAACAACAGTGTCGTCAGCATGCTCTATACTCTCATAAAGCACGTTACAATGAGCCAATCAGAATTTCTGTTAGAATGGCTCAAACAATCTAATTGGCTGTACAAGATTGAAGCTGTCAAAAATGTTAGAGCATCAAAGTTAAAAAACCATCACAGTTCACATTCCACAATAGTTTACAAACTTAATAGTATAGCAGGTCGAATTTAACTCTTTCTCCTGGAGCCTTTTAGTGTCTAATACAGAATCTGAAAGTGAAATGTTAAGTGAAATCCGGCCGAATTGTGGCTCATAAAAACACGCAAGTTTTTTTACGGATAACAATTAGAAAACAAACTATTCAAGCGTGTGTTTAATGAATGAACGACAGCCGAATTTACCGGAACATGAAGATTGCTTGGGATGACAGCGCCGTAAAACTCGGCATCAGTGTCTTATGTGGCCTTCCACTCAACGCCTCGGAAAGGATATCAGAGCAAGCTCTTAGTTGTACTCTCGAAGGGCGGCCGATGTAATTTCTGACGCTTAATTGAATGTGATGACCGGAGATCGCCATGATCAGCTAGCCGCATTGGATCTCAACTCGACACCGTTATGATTAGTATGAGTTTTAACAGTTACGCCAGTTTGGCTATATTTTTTATCATTCCTATTTTGTTCTGTTTTGTTTTTGAACACGAAACTATACATACTACACGAGTGTTAGCTGCCTTTGATTTTTATTACCCTAAGTAAGCTTGCAATCTAACCGAGTGTGAAAACCTTCAAAACTCCGACTGTCCATTTCGTTTACTCTTTGAGGATTCTCGTCTCTGCTCACGTTATAATAACGTCAATTACGGCGCCTGGCATTTTTACAAACCTTTGTTTGGTTCTTCTGTTGCTATTTGCCGACTTGCCTGTTCGGAAATTTCACTTTCAATGACAGAAAAATAACTAGGGAAAAGTCCTGGAGAAAGCCGGACATACTACAATTTGGCAGATAACGTGACAGCCTTAGATTAGCTCTATGCTCTATACTCTCATAGAGCACGCTCTTTCAACCAATGACAGCGCGCGTTACATCCGAACTTTATTATAAAATAACTGATATAAAGCGGAAAGTCTTAAACGCTGTGAAGACGTTGTCCGTTTCTGGAACTGTTAGGAATCCAACTAATTAATACTAGGTAACAGAGGACTGGGGATAACAAATGATAGAGCGGTCTATATACCGAGTGTTGTAAGACCAGATTTAATAGGTCAGTGGCAATTATCGCTTCCAATTAAAACAGAGGAGCATCTCTAACGATCACTACTTCAAGTTCAATTGCAAGGATTCAAATTTAAAAAGATCAAACTTTTAAATAGTTTTTTTTTACCATCTTAACAATAGTGTAATGCAAAGCTCAAGAAAGTTGCCCAAGAACGAGATGAGAACGCGGAAATCCTCAACAATTTGGCGGGAAAGGTTCAAGACTTCTCCGTTGCGTTGATGGACCAAGTAACCCCAACAGAGGAAAAATCCATTGTTAACAATGCATCTTTACTTGATAGTATAACTCAGCCAGCAATTGACTACCAACAGAAGAAGGTGAGTGAAGTTCCTCTTATTATTGTCTGTTATCATTATCCTCAGTGTGATTTTTATTGTTATTGTATCCGGCAATCAATGTGATGATTATTGTTGCACTTATTCTTCGACATTTCCGTTTGTCGTTGCTTGTGTCAGTAATTCTTGTATCAAAGGGGAATAACTGATAAACTGAAAAGTTCAGATAAGCCAGCAGGACTAGTCACATAGTTAATTCTCCCGAAAGTATGTCATTTATCTAGACATGTTGTCCTGTGGTACCTGTCGTACGCAACAACTGACATCTGTTCACGCGCTCGTACGTTAGATAATTCGAATAAATTTATATCACTATGGGACAGTTAAGAATCAATCAGCGGTTTGGGTACGGAACGGCTCAAACTTGGATACGAAACGACTCAACCTTTGGTACGAATCGACTACATTTGGAAACAAAACGACTGGGTACGAAACGACCACGGGTAAGGAATGACCGCACACCATTTTTTCTAGCTTTGCAATGTAAAAATTAGTCAGTACACTAGCCCATACACTCTTCTCAGCCGCTCGGGATATTACTTGGGCTCGCTGTTAGTCCATCAAGGGACGAACAAGACCGACGAGTCATCTAAGGGGCAGGATATTAGTCTGGGCGGGGTGATCTTCTGCCGTAAATGTGAAGTTAGCTGACTATTCCAATCCAAGAGAGTAGGCAGGGGATGGTGGATACGGATGGCGGCCTCAACATACCCCATGACGTCTTGGCATTAATCTAACGTATACCTTACCAATTCCCTCACATCTAATTATTTGCAGTTTATTTCTCATCGACTGGTGTACAGACTGTTTAAAATTAGATGGAAGCGGGGTTTGCCATCCAAATATCGACAAGGAATGAAGGCGAGATTGACGGTGATTTCATTCACCATACTGGAGACGATTTTGACTCCCATTTTACTTCCCCTCATTGCCTATTTTTCCTACAAGGATCAGACATGTCTGGAGAGAAAAATGCTCAGAGGTATGGACACTTCCTTCGAAAACAGCCATTGCACAACTTCGGAAGGCCTACTCTAGGGCCTTGGCACACATATAATTTGGTGACTGTAAAAGAGAACTTCTACTTCACGGCTCTTTTTTAAATAGAAAATAACTGAAATCTCCAAACAAGATAAGTTCATGAATACCAGAATACCGGCCTGTATCAGATTACCATACTTAAGAAGATCAAAGATTAACTACTACCTAAGTAATTTAAAAGATTTTTTAAGGACGAGCAGCTTTGCAAACTCAGGGTCTTACCTAAGGCCGGAGGGAGTTCGTCACGACTACTGTTTACCGCAAAGTAGCCATATACTTTTATATCCACACCTATTCTTTTCGACTTATTCCATAGTCTTTAGCCTTTAAACACATGTGCATGCATAATACCAGAAATGATATGGACTCCCATTCATCTAATAATCTACATTTCGAGATTTCTTTCTTTGCTTTTCGGATAATACCTAAGGAAACTGTTCATATCACCTGGGTCCAAGCTTAAAATAGATATTTCATGCTAACACAGTTACGATATTATAAATAGCTTTATCACTTTCACAAAAGATCTTTTGAACTAATTCATTTCTATTTATAATGTAAAAAGAGGACTTGAGACTTTCTTGTAAATTATTTTTTTGTGATCACTCGCCTTTGTCACGTACAACCACTACAGGAAACGCTTTATGTGCTATCTTTTTTTCTCTTTCAGATTTGTACTTGAATTACTTGAGAACACCATTCGTAATTTCTATAAAGGACCGACTCAGTCAAGTTGTCCACTTAGGGCTACACTTTAGATTATGTGTTCTTGCCTCGTCCGTCTCCGTGAGAACCGAGGAATGGCTAACACTGATATTCTACATAGGCTTCATGTTGTCTGAATATCAACAGTACCGGAGTTCTAAAAGCGCTAAAGAAAAACGAGTTCGAGTTTACCTACGGTTAGTAAGATGACCGGGACAGTCTTTTAGACGCTCTGTGTCTGTTGGTCCTATAAGCAATTATATTTGTTATTAATGGAAATCTTTCCCCTCCCCCATAGCTCGCCTTACATCAGCTAACGATTTGGCTGGTCTGCTGTTTTTGATAGAGTGACATTCGTCTGTTTGATCATTTTTCACCGTTGAGGTTAACGGAGTAGAACGGTTGGTCCGAAATTTCTTATTGTCGATAGGCTTTTGCTTTTTTGCTTTCATATTTGCAGCGATTATCTCTTTGACTGACATAAATACCATCAGAAGAGAGTTTTGAGATGCTCACCTAGGACTTCATGTCAAATATGTAGATAAATTTACTTACTTCTTCTTCTGCAGAAATATGTGGAATTACGTTGATATGGTAATCCTGGGTTTGTTCTTTATGATGCTTGTTCTTCGATGCTTTACTTTAAACGAAACAGACCCATATCAGAGTCGATTATTACAAGTGGTCAACATCCTATATGGCATCAGTACTCTTCTTCTGACTCTAAGGTTCTCGAGCATTCTGGAGGTGAACAAAACAGTTGGACCTCTTCAGCTTGCTCTGTTCCGAATGTGTATCGACTTACTGATCATTTTGACGCAGTTCTCTTTCGTTATTATGGCTTTTTCTGCGGCTATCACGAAGGTATACGTCGCTGAGATTTCCTTTCTGACGCCAGCACACCAAAGGGAATCAAACGAGACGGGTCGACTTGAAGAACTCAACGAAACCGGTCGAACAGGAGGGTCTGTAGAAAGAGTTTCCTACTGTAGGATAAGTTTTTATCAGCATGTACCAAGTAGACCTAAGGAGTTGCTTTCCTTTTTCGTGAAAGTTTATGCTTTTGTGTTTGCCCATTTTCTGAAACAAACCGAAAGTTAAAAAAAATATATACATTTCTTAGTAAGTCGGTATACCAGTGTTAATACGCTTTCTAAACTGTTACTTATACTAAGACAAGTTTTCATTTTCAGGTTTTGCACGAAAGGAAAATCAGCCTGGTAAGTAAAGTCTATCGGGTTCCCTCAATCTCGATTTGAATATGTACCACTGTTATGGAATAATTCTTACTATTCATTACTTTTGACTGTTCACTACCTTTTCTTATCTATACAGAGATGATAAACTTTGCCAAGAAGATTTCTTGGCCAATTTATATTAATACAAGCTGGTAATGAAGGCAACGCGACTAACTACTAGCGAACTGCAACGGTTTAATGGCGACAACAACTCAACGACATTAATACGTCTGCCGGGTGCACTAGGTTGAACAACGAAACTTAACTCGCATGCATAGCTAACGACGCCAGCGAGCAGAGAATTTTGCGATCCCAGGAAAAGCTCTTCAAGTGCCTGTATAACTAGTTTCCAATCAAATACTGCACGTGTAATTTTAATAAATTCTTTAACTTATATACGGAGGAGATTGTATCATACTTCCCTTATCTTGCAGTTTACTCCAGACGTCTAAATATCTTATTTGGTCTGTATTTGGTCTAACCGAATTGGACACGATGGAGACTAACGACGATGGGTCCGATTATGTTGTCGGTATCCTGTTCGTTTCCTTCTTAATCATCTCAGTTGTTATGCTGGTCAACATCCTGATTGCCTTGCTCACAAATACTTACAACAAGGTCGAGGTAAAAAATCTCTGTCCTTGCATCCGCCTCCCACCCACCTATTTCAGCTTGAAATGAAGCAGTCCGTCTAAAAATCGATTTCAGTTTAAGCCTGTGTTGTAACTAATTTCAAACGAAAGCTTGCTTTTGAAATGCATTTATATATTCCCAGTGGTTTGAATGCCAAACTACATCCATAGAAAAGAGAGCTAAGGTACCAAGCTATCCGGCCAGAAATATTCAATAAAGACATGCTTAACACCTTCCAATGCATGTAACCTTCACTACGTGCTTGGATTTGAATGGAAAATCTCACTGCTAATCAAAGATAAATGAAATAAAACGACTCACTTCAGGATGACTTTGTATCCTTATCACTGTTCAAATTCACAACGCAACTGTCCTTATTTTCAGACTAATGCAGACCTAGAGTGGAAATTTTTTCGCGCGGTGGTAGCAGAAGAATATAGAAGATATCATCCCATTGTTGTTCCGTTCAATATCATTTCCTTACCAATGTCTTTCCTCTACACCAAAAAGTATGGAGACAACCGAGCAAAGGTTTGATTGATGTTATGATGGTAAAACCTTTGAATTTCTTGAATCACTCTCTTAAAGGAGAAAAAAAAACAATATTAAAAGTTTTGATATTCAGACATGAAAATGGTATACCTTAAAGGCCTATTATCAGTCTGGGCCATAGACAGTTTGTCCATACCACTTCCCGTAATACGATTGGTCTAGACAAAACCAAAACAAACCGATATGGCAGAAAGAGAGAATTGGGAGGATACTTTTTATTGTTAGATTTCTCGTGGCGGCTATGTTATATTGCATAGTAGACAGCAGAACAGAATGGAAAATTTCAAGGGAGACATTACTGACATGTTTATATTGGCAATATGACCGAGTAGAGTCTAATTCGGTCTGTAATCATACAAACGATTAACGAAATCGGACGACCGCGAGGTAATGGTCCGATTTTTAAATCATGAGTATGATACCAGACAGAATTGGACGAGAGGAAGTCCTGTTACCAATTAATTAAACTATGACAGTGCCAGGTATAATACGTAACCTTTTTCGGAAATTTGTCAAATTTGTTCGAGAAGTTGTGAGTAACTGTCTGTAAGGTAAACTAAGCTGCGGCGTTTACATTCTCATCCCAAATAAGGCTCTCCTATTTCCAGGAATGTCTGCAGTCCAATGATATCTTCTGTCTTTAAGTTTTATCTTTAGTTGCCTAGCTTGACTTAAATCAGTTTAATTCTGAATACTAATTATAGAAATTCTAACCTCAGAGAGTTAAAGAACGTCAACGAAGGCATGAAGAGCGCTGCAGATTGGAGCTCTTTCCTGCACTCACAAGGCGATACCTGGATAAATATGGAGGCTCATTTCCACTGTCAAGTATGTGAAATATAATATCCGCTTCCTGATAAGTGAGCAGAGTTTATTTTTTGAGTGACCTTTTAGAACTTGCTATCCTTGATGATACGAAGAACTTGCATGATGGCTTAAACTGTTAGAACATATAGTTCTCAACTAATTAAGAGAAACTTATTTTTCATTTCTCTGTTGGCTCTCTCTTCTTTGGTTGTTTCAATTTGTTTTTATTTATGTATTATTTGTTTTCCAAACCTCGATAGGAGGTTTCTATCGAAAATAACACCGTAGATGTCGTGCTGAAATCTAGCGCTAATTAAATTAGTGGGTGAGCGGTATCCTTATGCTTATCTTGCATAAAAAATGTAGAAAAGCATCCAAATATAGCATCAAATGAATCTAAAGTTACGAGTGCGTATTTGCCAGGAGTGAAATGAATCTGAGAGACGCCAATTATCGTCAATATGAAACCTTTTAGGTGCTATTCTGACGGTAAACATCACCACAGCATATGAATCCGCTTCAGGGTGTCCGTTTTCCTGACAATTGCAACATATACTGGCCGAACTAAATCCTATCAGCTGTTCATTAAAGCCTTTTCCAAGTAGATATTTCAAAACAATAACAACTGAACCTGTTCCATTTGTAGATGAGGAGAAAATCGACCTAGTAGCTGACAAATTTGATCAGCTTGCCAACAAAATAGACGTAGTTGCCAACAAAATTGAACAGCAAGAACACAAACTTGATAGATTATTGGAGGTGATGGAAAAAATACATCAAGCTCAACAGGTTAGACATTATTTGCTTCTCAGTTCAAAATGGAACTTCAGTAAGAAAGATAGTGCACTAAAATATACCGTGATAGAAATTGTATCTTATATATAGACGTTGTCTTGCGATCTATCTTTATTTTACGTTGAAAGATTCTTTACTTAGACAGCATTCTTATGAATTGAAACTAATGGTATCTGTTTCCTCAGACTCCTGTAGAGTTCCTGCATTCACAAGTTTCCCAACACAACGATGCTGTCGATCATCAATTAGATAAGAATATACAAAGGCCTTCTGGAGAGGCATCGGCTGACTTTTAAGATTAATTTTATCCCTAGGGAATAATAAATTGTCAATGGAAGTAAAATTCTTTTTTTGACGAATGAGCTTGTAAGAAGGCCGAAATAAATATTTTGTCAGGACACTGCAGGGCGTAGGTCTTAGCCCGCCGTATTATGTGCAGTTAACGAGAGGTATATAGGAAGGGGTATAGCACGCTATCATGAGTCATCAACGCTTCTGAATCAAATATTTCAGAGCTCATTTTAATTTCTATCATATCTTTTTGGTTAATTTTTACTTCACTATCATCTAGTTTAGACTTTTTGAAGCTTCCGTAGGATGGGCGAACAGTTTCTGGAGCTAGAGCCTTGGCTCCCACCCACATTTCTTACCTATTTTTCTGGCCTACGCTCTAATCGTTCTTCCATTGTAAGCGGTTGCTTAGCTCCGTTAACCAGACGATTCCAACGTTTTTGTTTCGTGCGTCAGTGTTCACTCTGACTTAGTCTTTCTAAATACTCTTGTACTTTGGTTTATCAACCTCACTGGCTTGGATAATTTGTGCACATCTGTGTGTGGGAGATTTTGGTCCAAAGAAGTGGACTTCCAAGCCTAACTGGCAGTTGTACTCAGAGTTTGTTTGATTAGTAAGTTTATCAGCCTAACTGGCCAGAACGATTTGTGCAAATGTTTTAAGATTTTAGCTAAAGTAGTGGACTTCCAAGCCTAAATGGCAGTCGGACGGAAAGATTTTACAGATTACGGCAAGTTTAGTTCTTGCGCTTCCACATAAATGGACTGAAAAATAGCTCTTGTATTCTTCGAATTCTTTACACCGACATGGGACTGCTTTCATGAATTTCCAAGGACGAGAACTAGTCTCTGGATGTGACATCATACTGCTGTCAGCTAACAGTCGCTGCACACTCTTAAATCAACTTAACGTTGTTCATCATGACATTAGCTCTCGCAGATGTTATAAGTAAAATAGTGTTTTGGGTTGGTTGTTGCCAGGCCCTTCCCAAATTAAATTATTTGGCCACAAGCTTTACCGCTTACCTGCTGTTTAAGTTTTAATCAAATTTCTGTTTCTTAATTTCTCCCAATATTTTTTTGCTTTTGTTATGTTTCTGAAGGTGAAACCCCGATGGTCTTTACGGTATGGATCAATAATCAAAACTTCTATAATCTTAGTTGATAATATCTTCAATAAGCCCTTTTTTTAAGTTACCTCTGTTTGCCTATCTGTGTCGGAAAACTTACTTACAACTGCATCTCGGTTTGAGTAGAATTTTTTGGGTAAATACGTGTTTCCTTACACCAACGAGGCCTTTATGAAAAAAAAAACTTACTAGGTAGATACTAAAATCCTAAATTAAGGAAAATCTAAAAGAAAACTAGTTAAAAAGTTCCATTCCTACTTTTACGCATTTTATCGGACCAACTGACATTTCCTTTAAACTGTTTGGATTTAGTTCCACTCACGATCTGTTGCACGGTCTAACTACTAGCACCTATATGAAATATTTTCATGTTATTGATCATAAGCAGAACCTTGTGTGTTTTATCCTTAATAATATACATGGAAAAATTACTCAGTTCTGATTGGTTAAGATAAATGCAGTTTTCAGGTAATTCAGTGCAGAAGAGAGTTAATTCAGTGCAGAAGAGGGTTAATTCAGTGCAAAGAAAGAAACAAATCAGACATTCTGATTGGTCAATAATCAAAGAAACTCACAGATAGCCAATCAAATGCGAGCCTTGGATGTCGCAACAAAATTTGAAAATTTGCGAGCGAAACAATGGCCGGCGTTTTAAGTAGGTTATATACTTTTATATATATATTCTTTCGCCACCGCAGCTGAGAAACAGCTTAAACAACGAAAACACTATAAAAAGCACTGCTCTTTGGTTGTCAGTTTGGAAAAAGTAGTGTTTAGAGAAGGGAATTGCCAAGGAAATCAAAAATTAAGAGCCGACCCAGCTTAAAACTTTGCTCGAGCAATCCAACGCCGAAATTAAAAACAGTCATAGTTAAACCTCGAAAACGACGATTCCATTTCATCGAAAGTGCTTCAGACACAGACTGAACTATTCCTTGAACTGTTTAGTCGGACTTTGAACTCTCTTGCACCTTAAAGATGTGAAGATATCATTGCCTATTATTGTTTTGATCCTACGCGGTTGCTTAGGGTTAGGGTTGTTTTGACCGAACGCACGGTTTGAATAAATTTATAAATTAAATGCGCGCGCTTTGCTTATGTTTAATTATGATAAGCCATCTCGTATTTTTCCATGTATATTATTAACACGTGATCACATGATTTTTCTCGTGCAATTTGGAATAAACAAGCACTTGTTAATTTTTTTCAAAGACCACAAATTGCACTCGCCCTACGGGCTCGTGCAATTTTGTTAGTCTTTAAAAAAATTTGCTCATGCTTATTTATTCCAAATTGCACTCGAAATCATGTGATTACCTATACTAATACAGGCGAACCTCGATTATCCAAATTCTCTAATTATCCGGACATGCCTCTCTAGTCCTATTTCTATGAATATTAATTAGTCATATTTGAGATCTATAACAACATTTTCCCATCAAACAAAGCGCATGTAATGAAGCACTATATCTTGCATCATTAGATCTTCAAAGAATGATAGAATTAGCGACCACACACGCTGTAGCAGCTTGAAACAGACTGATTTACGTCATCATTTCAGGTCGACGTCGTACTGAAAACGTTGTTGGTTAGCTTTAACTTTTTGAAAATACTTTTAGCAAACAATAATGCACAATGATTTAAATGATCCTTCATATACTAGTAGACGTGTATTTTAAATTAGTGATTTATGTTTATATACAGGTAAGCCAATCGATTAGGGGCAAACTAAACTAAACGGACACCCATACCTAAACTTGTCTTGCGAGCTGTACTACATTCAATTTTTTAGTTTTATACTGAAAATCTTCTCTTTATGATTAGCCCGCCATCAGCAACTAGATTACTGGGGTAATGGCATCTGATCGATGAACAATGGCAAGAATTATATCCGAAGTTAATGAAAGACAGGAAAGACGCGGTCATTTTCACTATCATCAAGAGAAAACAATGGGAGAGAGAGGGAAGATCAAGGCGTTGGCTGGGATATGTCGATTTCACTTAAGTTATTCTTAGCCTGAAGTGGAAAACATTGTTGTTTCCTAATGTAAAGGTATAACAAAGAGTTCATCATTCGCTTCTTAGAACAGCCAAATCCAGGATTTTTGGTATAACGACAAGTTTACGACGGAGGCTTACTAGTTCTTTCAGAAGATTCTTGATTAAGTGCTGTTAACTTTCTGTTTGAACTTGTACAGGAAGAAGAGGAACAACTGTGACTTGATTTTACCTTTACCAAAAACTGTCAATAAATGCTTTCCCACTCTGATCCTCCATACTAACTGTCTGAAGTGTAAGACCGTAGTTCTCTGATAACCAGAGTGCCTTTGGAACTTTTTCTCTGCAATGTATAATGCAAACATAGTTTTTAATTACTGTTGCAAACAAAAAGTATATCATAAATTATCATGATGCTCCTTTTCGTGTTCACAATATGTCACCATTAAATGTTGGATGGAATTTGTGTTTATATCATGCTCATGTTTAGTTTAATCCTTACCTAATTTCCTTAAAATGCCTCTGTTGTTGTCGCTTCCGTACATTATAAATCTTCTTGCCTCGATGACCATCCTGTTTTTTGTTTTTTTTCTTTTTTTTAATGCTGAACATTGCCTCGTAAAGCTTCGCTGTTTTACCTAAAAATTCAAAACGGTTTGAAAGGTTAAAGAAACTATGATACTGCGCTGGTTGGGAGGATAACAAGATAACTTTGGTTTTATCAACTCAGTTGCCGGGATAATGTAAAATGGCCACCGTAAAAGCTTTTTTGCTAATAAACAGGAGTTAAAAAAGGAGCAACTACAAAATGCTTTCTTATCGTCAAGTTCAAATTATAATCGTTTGTTTTTGATGGTCAGTTCTTCATCTTTCTTTTCTTGGTGCTGAATGGCGTCGCATTTCATCTGGACGAAGACTAACTTTACACCAATACGACGATCGCATGGCTTTGCGGCTTTCATTGTTGGTCATGGCTCTCGATTTATCCATTAGATGTTTAACTCTTCTGTAGACCGTCAGTCCAACTCGATGACCACAAGATGATGCCAGCTTATACCCTAGCTTCACCAAACTAACGTGCAGGTTTCTGAAGATTTCGTGAAGAGTGCGAAAGTCTCTAACTTGCCATAGGACCTCTCCATTCATTTGGGGACAAGAGAGTGGATCAGAGCCTTCGATGAAGGGTAAACAAAGACGAAGCAAGGCAGGATTGGTCAGGAATTCTGTGAGCTTTAAAGACAGCTCTCGATCGACCTGCTGCATTTCTTGGACGGAACACATCTCGATTATTGGCGTCAGGGAGAAAAGTTTCTCATAAATGAGAACAAGGCTGTAGTTTTGGAAAGTTATTTAATTATGCGCACATAATAGTCACAAAAAAAACCATAGAGAAGGCAGTTGCGGACACTTAGGCCTTACAATTTACGCAATTGTAAACTGTAGCTTTTTTATGCTCTTTTTTTTGCATAATTGTCAAGCACTATTTACGCGGTATTTGTTACTTTCGATGCTTAAAAAACCTGTCGTTAATTCCTTTTTGTAAAGTTTTTGTGACCGTTTCTTTTAGCACCTCTTGATCAACTTCAGCACTAATCACCGCGGATCATGTGCCACATTGTTAGAGGAGGCGGAGCTAGAGAAAATTAACATATCCGCGGGAGTTTTGGAGAAGGGTCCCACCGGAGCCCGTGGAAGACAAATTTAGCAGAGAAGCCGAGGCAATAAGTGACATTTCCAGAAAATCACGATTTGGTATGACTTCCATTCTATGCAATCTCCGAAAATTTATCCATAAGGTTTTCCTAACAATCAAGTTAAAATAACCGTATGGTAAAACAGCAAAAGAGTTTTTCCCTTTCACAAAATTACGTCCATAAGTAAGCAAAGGGCTTTTTCCCATGCAGGCAAACGTGTAAAAAAGCGAGTTTTAATACCCGTTTTGATGTCTTTTAGACGTCCTAAAGCAACAGT